GTTGCGCATATATATATAGGCAAAAAATGAAATGAAAGGTACCACCCTCTTCTATTTCAGGATCCAGTAGCTTTTCTGCTTTTACTTTATTCAGGTTTGTTCCTTTCATTTTTAGAATTTTGAGAATTGCAGTCAAGAAAATCTCCATTTTGTTTGACTTCAATAAATATCAAAAATAAGTATTTGGTAACAAATAGATCATAAGCAGTTCTTTTATTTTTTCATGTCTTTATCTTTTCTTCTGGTATAATCTTCTTATCTTAAAACCAGAGAAGGCACCTGTATGTATATTATAGTGGATGAAGTATCCTATTGATATTTAAAACCAGAAAATCAAATATAAGGGATCCACAAGGTATCAATACAAAAGTGTTATTAGAATAGAGAGATCTGTTCTCATTCAAGAAACAATATTAAGAATTCTGTTTAACACCAGCCATGGTGGCTCATGCCTGTAATCCCAGCACTTTCGGAGGCCGAGGCAGGTGGATCATTTGAAGTCAGAAGTTTGAGACCAGCCTGACCAATGTGTTGAAACCCTGTCTCTACTAAATACAAAAATAATTAGCCAGGTGTGGTGGCACATGCCTGTGATCCCAGCTACTGGGGAGGCTGAGTCAGGAGAATCACTTGAATCTGGGAGGCGGGTTGCAGTGAGCCGAGATTGTGCCATTGCACTTCAGCCTGGGAAATAGAGCGAAACTCCATCTCAAAAAAAAAAAAAAAAAAAACAAAGAAGAAGGAGAATTGAGTTTAAGGCCAGGCGCAGTGACTCATGCCTGTAAATCTCAGCACCTTGGGAGGCCCAGGTGGGCGGATCACTTGGGGCCAGGAGTTTGAGACCAGCTGGCCAACATGGCAAAATACCATCTCTAAAAAAAAAGGCTCATATCAATCATATCGATGTAACAATTGTTAGAGGAATATGTATTAATCACAGTTGCTTTTGACTACAAGTAACAGAAATTAGACAAACAGCAATTTAATCAAATAAGGCATTGATTTTTCTTCTATAAAATGTCTATGCGTGTGTGTGCGCATTTTTTTCTTTCCCCTGAACACAGTTGAACTAAGTACACTGCAAGTATTATGGCACTTCATCACTAAATATGTCAACTTGTGTCACCTAAAAACAAGGACATTTCTTCATAGCTATATTCTGTTGTTATATTCTAGGAATGTGTAACTGAGTATTCTATACTCAGTTTTATTCAACAGTGCACCATTTGCATTTTTTAAAAAAATCAGGATCCAGTTAAATATGTTTTAATTTAATCTAGAATGGTTTTCTTGCCTTTTGTCTTTAATAAATCAATGCTTCTGTGGGTCCAGGCCAATTATTTATAGAGTGTCCCACAATTTTGATTTGTCTGATTGCTTGCACGTAATTTGATGCACATTAAACATTTTTGGTGAAAATATTAAGTAGGTAATGTGAATTCAGAGTACCACGTTAGGAAGCATATCTATCAGTTTGTCCTGTTGTGGTGATGTGGTAAGTGTGATCGCCTGGGTAAGGTGGTATTTGCCAGATTTCCCAGTTAAGATATCATTTCCTTTGTCAGTAATCTGTGGAGTGATGCTGAGATTTCATAAGTATTTTTTCCCAACAAGCCTTTTTCTGACAGTTAACATCCTTTTATCCTTTCCTAACTTAATTTTTACATTGATAGTTAGAAAATAGTGATTTTTCTGGTTCTACCATTTCTTCTACTTAAGCTGGCATTCTTTTATAAATAAAAGCATCTTCCCCAGCCTTATCCTCCCATAATACTGAAATACAGCACATTGAATCCCAAAACCAGTCTATGATTCAGACTCATGGATTATTTTGGGATTCAATATGCTGTATTCCAGTATTATCACTATTTATTTTGATGCTCAAATGGTTCTAAATTTGGTCAGTGAGAGTTTTTCTCTCTATGGTTTCTCTGTCCTTCTGACATGCACCCATCCATTTTTGAGCATTTAGTGGGGAATGGTATTTAGAAGTTAAGATCTGTACTATTGGATTTATTTTTTTTTCCAAGTGTCCTTCTTCTCCCTGAGAAATGCTGCCTTTTCTGAGCTTGCTAGACTTGGTTCCACATATTTTTATGCCACTATTTTGGATTCTCTATTAGCTTGGCTTCTGCAATGGTGGATCTGAAATGTGTTTTTAGTATTTCCCACCAGCAGTGTGACTTAATTTTTCTGGGAGCGATACCAGTGCTTCAGCACCCCTAAATCCCCACTCCCTCTATCCTCTTTTTCTTTCAGTTGCCACTTGCTTTTCTCTGCTCCAGCATAGGTTCTGGGGCTTGATCTTCTGAATTGATATTTCTCATCTCTCTTACATATAAGTTAAAACTTCTAGTAATCTCCGTCTCCTAGTTTTGCATTAGATATGGGATGGGATATGTATTGTTTTATTTGTTCTATTTGTTGATTTCTTTGAAAAATATATGTTGTGATTAGAATTTAGGTGGCTATAGTTATTCTATAAAAATTGGAATTCCTCAATTTAACTATTTTTATGGCTTTCTAAGATGTGAAATGTCTGACTTTGAGTTGAAGTTTTGATTTAGACTTGTTGACTCTTGGTAAACTTGGGCAAGTGTACAGTATATTTTGAAGTATGTTATGCCATTTGTCCTACCCTAAATGGCCTCTAGCCAGTGTATTCTGAGTCCTTGGGTTTCTTTGCTTTTTAGTAGCCTTTTTCTTTCCACTTGCAGACCAACATCAGCCATTTTCTCCTTTTGTTAGTGTGCTGCCTTCTAAGCCCTATCCACTTTATGAATAGAGAATTGGGAATTTGGATGACATATCTTGTTAGACTTAGCTATGCCATTAGGATCAGCAGGACCAAATGAAAGCCTGAGGGCCTCCTGGAGCTTTATTTAGGATCTGAATCTCCTCTGAATGTCTATTTGATTATTAAATAGCTATTTCTGCCTTGTTTTCAGTAATTTACTATGTTCTAGTTTAGACAGTTACACTGGATAAATAATCTTAAAAACTGAGGTTTTAATTTAGGTTTTGTGTAATAATATTGAGGGATGCAATACAATGTTAAAAGCATGGATGGTTCTGGAATCTGATTCCTTAGGTTCAGTTCCTGGCCCAACTACTTATTGGTTATATAACTGAGTAGTTGCTTAAACTCTCTGTACTTTCATTTTCTCACCTACGAAGTGAAGTATAATAATAGTGTCTTCTTCATAGATTTTGTGAAGACTGAAAAAGATGATACATGACAAGTCTAGAATGGTGCCTGGGTGTTGATAATTGTTATTGCAGTTGATATATTAATAAATAATAAAAATGTGTTGGATATTCATTCTGCACAAGGAGCAGTGATAGGCTGTTAAATAAAGCAGATCACCAGACCTTTAGAATAATCTGTATGTTACTTGCTCCCCTCCCCCTCTCTGTATATCAGTCCTGAAATTAAAACGTTTTAATAATTTATTAAACCTTTACATTTCCCATTGAGAAAGTGCAATGGTTATTTTATAGCATATTCACTATTTAGGGGTTTACTTTAAAAGGAACACTATAAATGTCTGAGTGATGTTAATTCCAAAGACTCTTGATAGCATTCTTTTTGTATTCTGTAGAGACACATAGCTTGTAATGAAATTACACTGTTGTAGAGTTATGTGTCCACTAGAGGTCACATTATACTTTTATATTACTTAAAATGTCTTTTATCTTCGTAATGTCAGTGAAGCCTACTTCAAAGAAAGAAAGAGATAGGAAAAGTTCATTTATTGCTTCCTGCAAAAATACAGTTTTAAAAAGAAAAGAAAGAAATTTAAGATAGACTGTTACAGGAACCATCTTTATATGCCATAGTTTGATATTTGATAGCTCATTACTCTGTTGATTAGAAAATTGGTTTGCAGTATTGAAGTAACAATGAGATTTTGGTACCCAAGCCAGAAGTAGGAACATTTTACTCTCAGTCACAGAATAATGTGCTTTTTTTTGAAATTTTTGAATGATTACATGTAAGTATAGTCATATATAAATGTGTTCTCACATTTATTATTATTACTTTTTTTTTTTTTGAAACAGGGTTTCACCCTGTCCCCCAGGCTGGAGTGCAGTGGCATGATCATGGCTCACTGCAAGCTTTACCTCCTGGGCTCAACCAATCCTCCTACCTCAGCCTCCCAAGTATTAATAGTTGGAACTATAGGCACATGCTACCCTGTCCAACTAATTTTTTATTTTATGTAAAGATGGGAGTCTCACTATGTTGCCCAGGCTGGTCTTGAACTCCTGGGCTCAAGCAGTCCTCCCACTTTAGCCTCCCAAAGTGCTGGGATTGCAGCCACTGCACACTGCCTATTACCTATTTTTATTAAAAAGATTATGGATTTGGAGTACTGCCTACTTGGAAAGTGACCTACCCAAGTTACTTAAATTCTCTGGACTTTCAGTTTCTTTGTAAAGTGTGAGTAATAGCTGTGGCAATGTTATGTTGAATCACAACATTTAAGGGAAGGTTCTATGTAAATGATGAAATGAGTCATCAGATAACTGCTGTTGTTTTTAGCCTACTAAGGTACGTTCTGGGAAAAAGAAAGGAATCTTTAAATTTTTAGCATCTTTTTTTTTCTGATAGAATAGGTTATTAGTTTGTACTTGCTTCTTGGATAGCCATTGTGGCTAACAATAGATTGCGAAAAATTCATTCACGTGATACTCATTCCAATGCTTGATGTTACTCTCTGTATGTCACAGCCTTAAGTGTGGAACTGCTGTCTGGTTAAAAAAGTGAGTACTGACTCCTGGCAGTTCTACATTTTTTTGTGTGGAACTAATAGGTTTAATTGAATTTTTGTGTTGGCTTGGTCTGTTTTTACCGGTAATTTTGGTCCTCATGCAGATAATGCCAAAATTCAAGTGCTAGATACCAAGGTTACCAACAGATGATGGATCAGGTAGTAAAGTTGGTGTTAGTGAAGTTGGTGCTTAACATGATCTTTAAAATTTTTTTTACTCTATAGATAACAGACAAGAGAGTGTCCAGAAGACATGCCATTCTTGAGGTGGCAGATGGTCAGCTGCGAATCAAACCGGTAAATATGTTATTAATTATTTATTTTTACTTTTGTCTCTTCCTCTTTCAGTTCCCAAGCAGAGGTGTCTATTTTCTAAGGTTATGGGAATAGGGAATTAATGTTAGAATGTATCCTTCTCATTGCCAGAAAATAATTAGGAGATAAAGGTCTAAACTATGAGAAAAATTATGTATTTTCTCATATGACAATGCTGCATTTACATAATTAGAATTTTGATGAAAGATAACTGCCAGTTCATGTATATGTTATAATTTGGTTTAAAATTGAATATTCCAAATAATATCCAATAAGAAAGCTCATAACTATGTAATGGTTGGTGTTTTGAGCTGGGATAGTGACCAAAGTCACTTAAATGTTATAGGGTAATGTTTTAACACATTCTGTATCACTCTGTGTAGAGTTGAATATTTCTAAAATTTAGACCTTGTTCAACTTTGAGGTTTTGAAAATGATTTTAATTTGAACGTTTTTGTTGAGGGCCTGAATTTTAATTGTTTGCTTTATAGTTTACTGCTGCAAAATCACTGATGATATGCACGGACAGCCAGTTTCTAAGAATATACAATGTGATTATTCCTTTTCATTTGCAGAGTCTATTGTGTAGGAGAATGAAATATGTGTATGAGGGTCCATTTATTTTAGACTAGATAGTACGGTGGTAACGTTTTATGGAATTAAATTCATTAATTTATAACCTCTTTAAACCAATTTATATTTTCATCTGTTCTATACAACTCCTGTTGTATTATTAGTTCTTTCTTTTACATAGCTAGTACTTGCATTTATTATCCTATATTGAACTGTTTCCAAATTTGGAAAGCATCTTTTTAATTTTAGTATTTGGAAATTTTTTGAAAAACGTTGTATTCACCTTATCTCAACCTTGAATAAATAATCTTTAAAAAGGTTTATATCTCATCTTCATTCTGCATTGTCTTAGTGTCTTGAAAGAGTGTTAATAAATATCTGAGTCAACACTCCTGAAGGAGGGAGCCACTTTATTTACCATCAGTTATTCATCTCTGTATTCTCTCCAGCTATCTTATTCTTCTGAGATGACATAATGGATCATATGGTCCTTGAGTAATCTGACTAATCTTTGTATCCCTAATGTTTAGTGTAATGTCTAAGACATAGTAGGTATTTAATTAATATTTGTTGAATGCATGAGTAAGTGCTGTGGTGAGAATTATTTATGGCATTTCTAGGTGTGAGAACACGATAGATTTTTACAAAAGTATGTTGTTCTCTGGTGCCCAGTTTCTAACACCCTGCCAATAAACTACCATGGCCTAAAATAAGTTTTTTGTTGTTACTGAAGCACATTAAAGGAAAGAATAGAGAGAGATCTTGAAATTCGTATCCTGCCTTTTCTTTTTTTTTGTTTTGTCGAGATGAGTCTCTGTCACCTAGGCTGGAGTGCAGTGGTGCAATCTCGGCTCACTGCAACCTCCGGTTCCCGGGTTGAAGTGATTCTCCTGCTTCAGCCTCCCGAGTAGCTAGGACTACAGGTGTGCACACAATGCCTGGCTAATTTTTGTATTTTAGTAGAGATGGGGTTTCATCATATTGGTTAGGCTGGTCTTGAACTCCTGACCTACCTTGTGATCTGCCTGCCTTGGCCTTCCAAAGTGCTGGGATTACAGGCCTGAGCCATGGCACCTGGCTTTATCCTGCTTTTCTAACAGAACATGTTATCAGTAGATTTACTTTTTTCAAAATAGCAATTCTAAGTTGTCAAAAAGAGGTACTTGAAAAAGCATAAAAAAGATCTACCTTTCTCCCATGTCTAAACATCACATTTGTGAGAAAGTTTACTTTTTACTTTATTGTGAAGGCAAGCTCTTGATTAACACCTGTAACTCCTGTTACAGCTTTTTTTTTTCAGCTCTGTTTTCGCTCCACTGATATCTGAAAATATATGGTAACATAGTATTTATAAATGGTGAATAACTCATTTTAGGAATTCGGCATATTTAGAAATGATTGTATTTTATTTTTATAGATTTAGGGGGTACAATGCAGTTTTGTTACATGGTCATATTGCGAAATGGTAAAGTTTGGGCTTTTAGTGTAACCATCACCTGAATAGTGCACATTGTACCCATTAGATAATTTCTCAACCGTCACTCACCTCTCACACTACCACTTTTCTGAGTCTCTAGTGTCGTTATTCCACTGTGTCCATGTCAGCACATTTATTTTGGGAGCAAGTTAAGCAGTGGAATTGTGAACAACTCAATAGATATCAGGGTTTTTCTTTACACTATTTACTTAGTGATAAGAAGAAACTCTTCTTGTAACAAGATTGACATGGCATTAAATTTTTGGATATCAAAAATAAGTCAGTGTTAATCAAGGAAGTTTATATTTTAGAAACTAGAGTGTTTTATAGATTGGCTTTAATGAAGGGACTTAGTTGGATTTGTGTCTATACTTGGCTGAAAATTATTCAGATATATTTTGTACTTCTGTGGCTATTCAAAATAGTACTAATAATGTAAAATAACTATGCCCAAATTAAAGGTGATTTCATTAGTTGAAGATCTTATCTTGAGTTAAATTGTATCCAGTATGTAGTGAGCCAAATTTCTATGTGGGATTTTGGCAGTGTTCAGTTAAAAAAAAGCTTCCTTTTTGAAAATACTCTTCACTTTTACTGTATCTTTAATTAGATGGTACTCAGATTGTAAAACAACTGTGTATGACATTAGCAAGTGTCTTTCGAGCCCAAAACTGTAGTAGAAATAATACTAGAAGCTAGAGCAAAAATTCTTCATGAGACTATAGATATAAAACTAAAATTTGGAATGATTTATTTAAGTTATATCTCTGTTTATGATCTTTTAAATATTATTTAGTGTAATTTTGTAAACTTTCCCATAAATGTAATGTTTAGACATTGGAGAAAGGTGGATATTTTTTATCCTTTTTTGAGTACCTTTTTTTTTTTTGTGACAACTTAGAATGTCACACTCTTCTGGAGAATGTCTGATCTTAAATAGTCTGCAAATTCTAGACAGGGAATTAGAACCCAGGCTTTTTGAACTCTGTGTAATATTTTGTTGTTGCTATGTTTCTGAAATCAGGATTCTCTTGGCATTGCGTGTCTCTTCCTTAAAAAAATTTCTTCAAGTTAAAACTAATTGATGATCTTAACGAGAAGTTTTAGTGCCTTCAGTTGAATAACATTTTTGAACTGAGAGCAGCCTTAGATTTAGACTTACATATGTGGAAATTTGATTGGGCCAGGGCTAGCATTATATATCAGTGGGGAAGAGGAGTTTTTATCAGTAGTTGGTCCTGGGACAGTTATCTGTTTGGAAAAAAAAAATTAGACCCCTACTGAAGACCCAAAAATCTACTCCAAGTGGATTAAATGTGAGAGTCCAACTATAAAACTCTCAGAATATAATATAGGGGAAACCCCTTATGACTGTACGGCAGGGAAGGCATGAACCATAAAAACAGTTGTAAAAAGCCAATTAAATTAAAATTAAGAAATTTTATGTATCAAAAGACACTGTAATGAAAATAATAACTACAGCAGGGAGAAGATATTTAAAACACATGTAATTGGCAGATGAGTTGTATTAGGCCATTCTTACATTGGTATAAAGAAATACCTGAGACTGGGTAATTTATAAAGAAGAGACACTTAGGCTGGATGCAGTGGCTTATGTCTGTAATCTCAGCATTTTGGGAGACGGAGGCAGGCAGATCACTTAAGGTCAGGAGTTTGAGACCAGCCTAGCCAACATGATGAAACCCTGTCTCTACTTAGTATACAAAAATTAGCCAGGTGTAGTGGTGCAATGTTTAGACATGGGAGAAAAGTAGGTATTGCCTGTATCTTGGTTACTTGGGAGGCCGAGGCAGGAGAATTTCTTGAACCCGAGAGGGACGGAGATTGCAGGGAACTGAGATTGCACAATTACACTCCAGCCTGGGAGATAGAGTGAGACCCCGTCTCAAAAAAAAAAAAAAATTTAATTGCCTCATGGTTCTGCAGACTTTACAGGAAGCATGGTGCTATCATCTGCTACATTTCTGATGAAGCCTTAGGTAGCTTTCAGTCATAGCCAAAGGCAAAGGAGGAACAGGCATGTCACATGTCGAAAGAAGGAGCAAGAGAGAGAGAGTGAGGGGAAGGTGTCACACACTTTTTTTTTCTTCGACTTTTAAGTTCAGGGATACGTGTGCAGGATGTGCCGGTTTATTACATAGGTAATTGTGTGTCATGGTGGTTTGCTGCACAGATCATTCCATTCTCCAGCTGATAAGCCCAGGATCAATTAGCTGTTCCCACCCTCCACTCTTCAATAGGCCCTAACGTATGTTTTTCCCCACCGTGTGTCTATGTGTTCTGATCATTCAGCTCCCACTTATAAGTGAGAACATGTGGTGTTTGGTTTTCTGTTTCTGCATTAGATTGCTGAAGATAATGGCTTTCAACTCCATCCGTGTCCCTTCAAAGGACATGATCTTATTCCTTTTTATGGCTGCATAGTAATTCATGGTGTATATATACCACATTTTCTTTCCAGTCTAGCATTGATGGGCATTTAGTTTGACTCCATGTCTTTGCTATTGTGAATAAACCACACACTTTTAAACTACCAGGTCTCACAAGAACTCACTCACTATTCCGAAGATAGCACCAAGCCATGAGGGATGCCCACCCCCATGATTAAAATACATCCCACCAGGCCCTGCTTCCAGCATTTGTGGATTACAATTCAACATGAATTTCAGGTGAGGACAAATATCCAAGCTATGTCATTCTGTCCCTGGCCCCTCCCAAATCTCATGTCCTTCTCACATTGCAAGATACAATCATGCCTTTCCAATAATCTTCCAAAGTCTTAACTCATTCCAGCATTACCTCAGAAGCCCAAAGTCTCAGCTGAGACAGGGCAAATCTCTTTCATTTATGAGCCTATAAAATCAAAAGTTATTTATTTTCAAGAAACAATGGGGATATAGGCATATGGTAAACATCCCAGTTTCAAAACAAAGGGTGTGCAGGACCAGCACAAGTTCAAAACCCATCAGGGCAGTCAGTAAGTCTCAAAGCTCCAAAGTAATCTTTGACTCCATGTCCTTATCCTGGGGCACACTGATGCAAAGGGGGGGCTCCCAAGATCTTTGGCAGCTACACCCCTCTGGCTTTACAGGGTTCATCCCCTGAGGCTGCTGTCACAGACTGGAATTGGTAGATTACTATGTTCGGGTCTGGATGTTGGTGGCTCTCTTCTCATAGCTCTACTAGGCAGTGCCGCAGTGGGGATCTGTTTGAGGCCTCCCACCCCACATTTCCTCTCTGCACTGCTCTAGTAGAAGTTCTCTTGTGAGGGATTTGCCGCTACAGCAGGCTTCTGCCTGGATACCCAGGCTTTTCCATACATTCTCTGAAATCTAGGTGGAGGCTGCCAAGAATCCACCACTCTTGCACTCTGTGCACCCACACGTTTAGCACCATATGGAAGTTGTCAAGGCTTATGTTTTGCATCCTCCAAGGTGGTGGTTTAAGCTCTATATGGGGTCCTTTGAGCCGTAACTGGAGCCAGAACAATGGAAATGTGGATAATATTGTCCCAAGACCATGCAGGGCAACAGGGCCCTGGGACTGTCCCATGAGATCATTCTCCTCTCCTAGGCCTCTGGGCCTATGATAAGAGGCGTTGCCATGAAGTTCTCTGAAATGCATTTGAGGCCTTTTCACCATTGTCTTGGATATTAGAGCTTGGCTTTTTTTTTCTTTTTGAGATGGAGTCTTGCTTTGTTGCCCAAGCTGGAGTAGTGGCATGATCTTGGCTCACTGCAACCTCTGCCTCCTGGGTTCAAGCAATTCTCCTCCTTCAGCCTCCCAAGTAACTGGGATTACAGGGATGTGCCACCACACCTGGCTAACTTTTTGTATTTCTAGTAGAGGTGGGGTTTTGCCATGTTGGCCAGGCTGGTCTCGAACTATTGACCTCAGGTGATCAGCGTGTCTCAGCTTCCCAAAGTATTGGGATTACAGACATGAGCCACTGCACTCAGCCTGGCTTATTTTAAGATGTGCATATATCTCTAGCAAGTGGTTGCTTCACAGCCTATTTGAATTCCTCTCCTGAAAAAGTTTTTTTTTCTCTGCCATATGACTAGGCTACAAATTTATCAAGCTTTTGCACTCTGCTTCCTATTTAAATATGTGTTGCAACTTTAAGTCATTTCTTCACTTATGCATTTGAGTGCAGGTTGTTAGAAGCAGCCAGGCCACAGCTTGAACACTGCTGCTTAGAGGTTTCCTCTGCCAGATCCTCTAAATCATTATTCTTTAGGTCAAACTTCCACATATCCCTAGGACATCAACTGAATGCAGCCAAGCTCTTTGCTAAGGCTTAACATGCTTGACCTTTGCTTTAGTTCCCGATAATTTCCTCATTTCCATCTTAGATCTCCTCAGCCTGGACTACATTGTCCACATCACTATCAGCATTTTGGTCACAAATTTGCCGATCATTTGGTCATTTAATCAGTCTGAGAAATTCCAAACTTTCTCTCATCTTCCTGTCTTCTTCTCAGCCTTCCAAACTCTTCTAACTTCTGCCTGTTAGTCAGTTCTGAAGTCACTTCCACTCTTTTAAGTATCTTCATAGCAATGCCCCGCTTCTATTCCCAATTTTCTGTATTATGCCATTCTTGTGTTGCTATGAAGAAATACCCAAGACAGGGTAATTTATAAAAAGAGGTTTAATTGGCCTACAGTTTTGCAGGCTTTACATGAAGCATGGTGCCGGCATCTGTTTGGCTTCCAGGGAGGCCCCAGGAAGCTTACAATCATGGAAAAAGGCTAAGGGGGAACCTGCACATCACATGTTGAAAGCAGGAGCAAGTGAGAGAGAGTGGGAGGGTGATACGGTTTGGATTTGTGTCCCTGTCCAAATCTCATGTCAAATTGTAATCCCTAGTGTTGGAGGAGGGGCCTGGTGGGTGGTGATTAGATCATGGGGGCATTGACTTTTCCCCTTGCTGTTCTCATGATAGTGAGTGAGTTCTGGTGAGATATGGTTGTTTAAAAGTGTGTAGCCCCTTCCCCTTCTCTCTCTTTCTCCTGCTCCAGCAATATCAAACTTGCCTGCTTCCCCTTTGCCTTCTACCATGAATGAAAGTTTCCTGAGGCCTCCCCAGCCATGCTTTCTGTACAGGCTATGGAACTGTGAGTCAATGAAACCTTTTTTCTTTATAAATTACACAGTCTTAGGTAGTTGTTTATAGCAATGTGAAAACAGACTAATACAGAGTGGGAGGTGCCACATACCTTTAAATGCCCAGATCTCATGAGAACTCAACTATCTTGAAGGCAGCACCAAGCCATGAGGCATCTGCCCCTATAATCCAAGCACCTCCTGCCAGGCCCCACTTCTAGCATTGCGGATTGCAATTCACCATGAGATTTGGGCAGTGACAAATATTCAAGCTCTATCAGGAGTGCTATCCAAAATGTATCACAGATGCCTTTAATCAATTAGAAAAAAATAAAAAATCCAGTAGAAAAATGGTCTGAAGACTTGAGTTGCACATTAGAAACCTGACTGGCTAATAAACATGTTTATATTATTATAGTTTTAATAAAAATGCCCATTATCTTGAAATAGATTGATTTATTTATTCAGCAGCTTATTGTAGCTGCACCTATAAGGTGCAATTTAAATAAATTTAGATAAATTCTGTAACTGATTTTAATTGTTTATGGAAGTTTAAAGATCTTGAAAATCAGAAAGATGGACAAGTGACTTCTAGTTCATTCATTTTATCTTAATGTTTGTTAAATATCACTTATTTTCTGTTCCCTCATCAATCACAAATTCTTTGATATACTAAAGCAAATTATATATACAACTGTAATAAAATGTTGAGAGGGAAACTTTAGTTAAAAATCTTTATAAAATTACATAAATGAATATAGCAAATTTTTTATGATGGTCCCTTCTGTATACTGCATAACCCAAATTATATATAAGTGATTAAATATTTTTTTGCTTTTCTTTAACTTGGAAAACTACCTTATAAACTTACCACCAAATAAAAAAAATAGCTTTGACAAAGAGAATTGAATGCAATTAGGGCAATTACTAATTTGTACTTTTGAGTTGAATGACTTTCTGTCTTTTTTCCCTCTAATATTTCTCCTACAAAAAATGCTCTGCTTCTCCAGTAGTTTTTGGAAATGGTGCATGAGGAGATGTTGCTACCTCTTGAGGAGATGATGTTAGCTTTTTTATGTGTCATTTAACTTTAATCTACAATCTAGCATCAGCAGGGAGAAAGACATCATAAAGGCAACCTGAGGATGATGTTCTTTGTAAATGACTGCATCACCAGTGATTGGTTATGCCCTCAGGGTGAATTCATAGCTGTCAGTGCTTTTATTTCATTTTAATAAAATCTTACTCATTTGGGGTCTTGGATGATTGAGACAGTAGCTCTATAACTGCATATAAATTGCTGTTTTTCTTTTTTTCTTTTGTTATCAACCCTCAAGTGTATGTCTTTGGGTGGTTGTGTTTGTTTTATTGCACAAGGTTCCCAAGTTGAGATTGTTTTTCTTTGCATGAGATTAAAAGTATACTTGTGAAATATCTGGAATCCTGTAATAGCCTTTTCTCAACTTACTTTGTTTAAAAAAAAAAGTTTTCCAAATTAAAAAAACCACAAAAATAAGGTGTTTTTTGGGGGGTATACATCTATCATTCTTTAAAATTTAATGATAACTGTAAAAGAAAGCTATAGGAAATTTATTTGTATTTTAGTTCCATTTTTTGCAAGGAAAATGCATCCTTTGCATCTCTTCTAAAGTTATAGCATTTTCTATTTGTTTGAATTTATAATCCCGTGGATTTGTTAAAAGGGACACACCAATAATGTGTCTCTCATGTAGGTAGTTATATCTTTTCATCACTGTGGGTTTGGGTTTGCAAATATTTTGTCTGCCCTTGTTTGCTTTTAGAATCAAAGCAAATGAGAAAAATTGTCTCATTGAAGCAATTGGGGATCCTTAACCCTTTTTGGTGTCAAGAAGAGTTTGAATATTCAGAAAAATCTTTAAATTCACTGTGGTCTGGTTTTGGGAGGGATTGAAAAGATTTTTAATTATTTATTGTTCTTTTGAAATGTTACAGGTCCCATTCGGTCTCCTTTCTAGTTTTTGTTATTGTTATTACTCGGCATATGTCCATTCCCAGGGTGGTAATTACTTTGCTGTGATGTCTCCAGAAAAAGTGCCATTTAAACTGATGAAATAGATGGAAGGGGAATAAAGATAGGTGCTCTATATAAGATTGTACTAAAAAAAAACAAACCCAAAGATCTGCATTATGTAGATTGCTTTGTCATATCCTAAAGCTTATTATTTAAAAAACCCAGTGATATTGATGACAAAAATGCTATTTGACTTATGGAAATAGCCAATTTTAGCTTGAATCTTGTTAGAATTTTTAAGGCACTTCTTAATAAGTCTTTTTTTTTTTGGAAGCAACTCTTTTTACCTTTGCTAACATGGAAATAGTGGCAAACATAATGTAAAATAGTGGATATTGCAATCGTTTTAACTTTGAGATCTGCTTACTACTTGTGATTTGAATGAGGATGATCCTCATAGTGGGAGTTTTATTTAAACAAGTAAGCTGATTCCTCTTTCAGGTAGAAAGAAAGCTGTATTGTTTGCTTGAGAGACTTGATTAGAATCTTCCTTCCTGTATGTCTTAGTTCATTTTGTGCTGCTATAACAGAATACCTGAGGCTGGGTAATTTATAATGAACAGACATTTATTTGGCTCACCATTCTGGAAGTTGGGAAGTCTAAAATGCAGGGGCTGCATCTGGTCAGAGCCTTTTTGCTGCATTATAATGTGGTGAAAGGCATTACATGGAGAGAGAGCATGCATGAGAGAGTGAGCAAGAGAGAGCCAAACTTGCATTTATGACAAACCCACTCAAGATAGCAGACTTGCTCCTGAGATAATGAATCCACTCTGGTGATAATGCCGTTAATAAATTCATGAGGGCATTTTCCTTATGACCTAATTACACTTTAAAGGTCCTACTTGTCAACATTGTTGCATTAGGATTGGCATTTCCAACACATGGACTTTGGGGGATACATTCAAACCATAGCATTGTAGTTTCTGATTTTTTAGTTGTAGTAAGAAATTAGTAGGAGAAAATAAATGGTAAAGAAACTATCCATTGTCAGGGAATTAGTGCATTTTGGATCTAGAAGTTGAGGGACTCAGTTTTTCCATACTAAGAATTATTTTTCATGTTTCGCCTTGTGATATCCAGTTGTATCTATTAAGCAGAATAGAAGACTCTTTTAACAATTAAGTGATAACTTTGCTTTTTTTCTTTGATTCCTGGAGAAATGGGAGGTTTACCATAGCTTATTTTCTCTTATATAAATAATAATTATGGTACTTATAAGAGTTAGATTTATTAGTCTAAGTTTATGCTGAAATTTTTAATTGTATTTTTGTCATAATTTTGAGTTACGACATTATTGTATTGTATTCTTTTTTAATTTAATTATATTCTTTTAAAATTTTTAAGGTACACACAAATCCATGTTTTTATCAGTCTTCAGAGAAGAGTCAGCTTGTACCATTGAAGACAAATCTATGGTGCTGTTTGAATCCTGGAGATAGTTTTTCTTTGTTAGTTGACAAATACACATTCCGCGTTCTCGCTATACCCACTGAAGTGAAAATGGAATGTACCTTAAGGTAAGTGCTTGATGAAATGAGAATGAGGATGCTATTTTTAATCTAATTCCTCAGACCTCACAAATCCTTTGGTAGGAACCAATAGAAACCATTAAACTCAACTGGAGATAGATTAGGTGTGTAATGTGTGTGTGTGCATGTGTGTGTTTTGTGCACATGCACATGTGTATCTGTTTCTAGAAAACATTTGACTTTCGAAACTTACTATGCCTTGATAGCAGTTGCTCCCATATGTGGTGTCTTTTACCATTGTATTCAGAATGTATTTTCTATCGAACAGTATTCAGTTAGTTAATTTGAAATTGACTACCTTTTCCTCATTTTTTTTAGCTTTTTAAATTTTATTAAGGTATTAATTTCTGATGTATATTACACCTGTATAACTCCTCTTTCTTATAAAAATAGAAAATATAGAACAGGGAAACTGAGGACATGAGATATTAGAATAAATATACTGATATCTGGCTTACAGTTAAAATTCATACACTAGGTTTTTTTAGTCAGTCTTAGAAGATTATTTGGCTTTGTTTCTGCTTTTAAATTATAGAATGCATAAACTAGACTTATAGAAGTAGATGGACAGAATTATGCAGAGTATGTTCTCTGATTGCAATGGTATTAAGTCAGTAAATCATTAACTATAAAATAGCTATACAAATCTACAAATACTTTGAAATTAAATAACACACTTCTAAATTACCCTTGGGTCAAGGAGAAGTCATAGGGAAATCAGAAAGCATTTTAAACAGAGTGATATTGAAAACAGCATAAAATATTGTGAGATGCAAGTAAATTAGTCCTTAGGGGGAAGTTTATAGTTGAATGCCTGTATTAGAAGAGAAGAAAGCTATAAAACCAGTGATCTGTGCTTCTACTTTAGGAGGATAGACAAAAAACTAATTAATCCCAAAGAAAATAGAAAAAAAAGAAAGAAAATTAAAACTACAAGTCAATGAAATAAAAAATAGATGAAAAGAAAATCAGTAAAGCTATAGGGTGGTTTGGTGAAAAGCAGCCTTTACTACAGTAAAGTAAGTACTTTACTTAGTAAGGCTTACCAAGAAAAAAGTGAGAAAACATGAATTATCAATATCAACAGTAGGAGAGGGGATGATATCATTACTGATACTACAGACCTTAGAAGAAAAATAAGGAAATATTATGTAAAACTTTATGCCAATAAATTTGGCAGCTAAAATAAATGGGCATATTTCTTTTAAAAAAAAACTGATTCAGGAAAAAATAGAAATCTGATGAATTCCTTATCCATTTAAAAAATTGAATTCACAATTTAAGGATTTCCCACAAGGATCTTCACTAATGAATTCTGTTAAAATTACAAGGAAGAAATAAATGCCAATATTATTCCTTTTTCTCAAAAATAGAAGAGGATATACTTTCTAACTCATTTTATGGAGCTTTTGTAATTCAGATACTAAAATCAAAAAAGATTTTACAAAAAAAAATCCCCAGACTACAGACCAATATTCTTTATAATAAAGTATTTACAAATTGAGTAAAAAGGATAATACTCTATTACAAAGTGGGACTTGTTCAAGGAATATAAGGTTAGTTTATTATATAAAAATCAAAGCAATTCAGCATAATAGACTAAAGGACTATCATTTTAATAGATGCTCAAGAATAATTTTGACAAAATTCAACACCAGTTCATGATTTTTAAAATTTTTGTGAAAACAAGGAAAAGAGGGAAACATTTTTCCCTACAAAAAACCTGTTAGTGAAATGTTGAAAGTTCTCTGCCTAAGATTGGGACTACAACAAAGATAATATATATCAGATTTGAAAGGAAGAAGTAAAACTGTATTTGTTTGGAGATGACATGATTGTATATTTAGAAAATCCTGGTAATCTACCAAAAAGAAAAGCAAGTCACAAACAGTATCTATTATAGTATTACATTTATATTAAATTCTGTAATAAGTAAACTAATCTGTTAAATAGAAATTTAATCAATGGTTATTTCCAAGGGGATTGACTAGGAAGAAGCTACAAGGGAGCTTTTTGTTTGGCTTTGTTTCAGCTTTTAAACAAATATGGACTTATTCTGTGTCTTGTTAAGGGTGCAGCTTATGTGGGTGTATGCATTTGTCAAAACTGATCAAATTTCACACTTCAGATATGTGCATTTTGTATATAAATTATATCTAAAAATGCTTAAATGTAAGTGAATAAAACAGGAAGTTGCGTTTTAGTTAAATGAAATTCATTATTGCTTACTACTTTATTTATTTATTTAGAGATGTAGTCTCACTCTGTTGCCAAGACTGGAGTGCAGTGACAGGATCTTGGCTCACTGCAAACTCCACTTCCTGGGTTCAAGTGATTCTCCTGCCTCAGCCTCCCAAGTAGCTGGGACCACAGGCATGTGTCACCACACCCAGCTAATTTTTGTATTTTTAGTAGAGAGACTGGGTGTCACCATATTAGCCAGGCTGACCACAAACTCCTGACCTTGTGATCTACCCGCCTTGCCTCCCAAATGCTTACTACTTTAAAGTTCAAGTCTTTTTCTCTTATCATACATGTATGAAGCATGCTGTTTTAAAATAGCTGTCAAAATGAGACATGTAAAGAACTGATTTTTTTGTTGTAATAAACTTTCATAATAGAATTACATACTTTTTTCAAAAATTAGGAAAATATGCATCCTTATGAAACAAAGTATGGTCATTGCCTGATAACTTATTTGAAGTATTATATGTCTATTTAAATTTTATTTATATTAATTCAAATTAGCTTATTCCCTTAGTGTGAAAGACTAGTGTCTTTAAGGCCAGTGTCACACTTTATTTAAAGTGTTAGCAGGTTATGGGATTAGTGAATTTTGAATTTTTTCATGTTGATGAAACTGAAAATAAACCCACTTTCACAGCACTGTACTTTTCTCAGGCTATTTAAAACTTGGGTTCTGTCATTTGCTGGAAGGGCTCACAGAACTCAGGAACAGTTTACTTACTACTAGGTTTATTATAAATGCTATATTACAGTATACAAATTAATGGCCAGATGAGGAGATACATAGGGTAAGGTCTGGAAGGGTCCCCAGCACAGGAGCTTCTCTTCCAGTGGAGTGTTGGGGTATACCATTCTCCCAGCACTTGGACATGTTCTTATTCACCAACCTGGAAGCCCTCTGAACTTTGTCTTTTTGGATTTTTATGGAGCCTTCATTACAAAGGCATGATTGAGTAAATCATTGGCCAATGAGATTAAGTCAGTCTCCAGCCCCTGTTCCCTCCTTGGAGGTGGTGGGTGGTGGTTTGGGAGTTCCTACCCTCTAATCATATGATTGGATTTTCTGAAAACTAGCCCTTCATCTTTAGAGGCTTTCCAAAAGTCACCTCATTAACATAAATTCAGGTGTGGTTGAAAGGGGCGTGTTGTGAATAACAAAAGATGGTCCTTTCACCTGTTTTGGAGTTCCAGCCAGGAACCAGAAGTGAAGACCAACATATGTGTTTCTTACTATATCACACCATCGCAGGTACATTCTTGTGGTTTTTGCCAGTAGCCAGGACATGTAGCTCTTTAGTGAATATTTAGTTTTCTATTGAAGTAAGGACAGTACTTCTCTAGTCAGGTAATGATGAGTTAACTCTGATATTAGATTAGAAGCCATGAGGGGAGGTGGGGGCAGATTTTGAATTCGAGTATCATCATAAGAGATGTCTATCTGGAGGAGGCAGCTGCCTGATTTCCAGAGAGGGAGAATCCACTGTCTAGCAAGAAGAAGTGGACTATGTCTTAGGTTGGAAGCATTGAAATACACTTTAGACATTTCTTGATATCATTGGGATTTTCATGTTTTTTAACTAGCTCTGTTTTGCAGTGTCAGTCACATAAAAACACTGCTTACTGTTGTACAAGCTTTACATGTATGAACTTTTTAATCTTTATAATAATCTCTATGAGGACTAAGTATTGTTAATATCCTTATATTACAGATGAAGAAATTGAGACATAGTAGGTTTAAGGCTTGCCCAAGGTCACAACTTAATACATGGCAGAGGTGGGATCCAAACTCAAGCCTGTTTCCAGAGTTGATGCTTTTACTGACTACCTCATTCTGTATGAGAATGCTTACTATAGCACTCATTTGAATTGTGAAAACACCTGTAGAAAGGCTAAATAAATTTGGAATAGTCCTATAATTATGTGAAAGAGAATGAACTAAGAGAGAGCTCAGGTTAAAACATGGCTAAATCTCCCCACTGTAATGTTGAGGGAAAAACCCCAAAAAGGTTATAAACATATAAAACATATATAATTTCTATAAAATAGTGGATACATACATACAAATAATAAAAGTACAAAGACATGCATGGGAACAATAAAATCAAATTCAGCCTAATGTTTACTTTTGAAGAAGGAATGGGAGAGAGAAACAAGACTGAGGCTCGGCAGGGAGAGGGCTTGAATTATATTTGTAATTAATCTGGAGCAAATATGAGAAAATGTTTCTATTGGGGTGGTGGATACACAAATATTTATATTCTTAGATATGTAGAGAGACTACATATATTCTCTATGTATTTTTGCATGTTGAAATATTTAAGAAATTTAAAAAGAATAGAAGAAAGTTTACATCCTTTGTAGAAGTTGTTAGGACTCTCTTGCCATGATAATTCTTTTCTTTCAACCAGTTGTAAATTTAAGAAAGGGATCTGAACCACAAACCAACGACAGAAAAGCTTGTCATTTCTTTAGATTTTCCTTTTACTCATATTAAAATGTCTTTTACATACAGAAGTTAGATTCTGCATAATTAGTCCTACTCATTGCCTACTTTGAAGGAATATATAAGTCTGTACTTGTCAGTTCTAGGTTGTTCATTCTGCACTCTTTTCTCTATATATGTAACTATGAAATTATTCTGCCTGGAGTATCAAAACCCATGCTTTTATGAGAAGTCAAAGAGAAAGCCAAATAAAAAGAATGCTTGTTTTTATATTTTAGTAAATTAAATTATAGCACATTTCACATAGAAGCACTAGTATTAATTCTTCCTCCCCAATAGTAGGTGCTTAGTAAGTGTTGGTTTTTTGAATACATTAATGAAATGTCTGAGGATATTAAATTGAGTGATAATGTGATAAGTATAACATTTTGTTTTCGTAGCTTATTTTCATTGCTGATAAGGAAGTATGACGTCCTCTCTCGGGAGATTATTTATTTTAAGACACTTATGAGGAAAGTAAAGTAAATCCTTTGTCATACTGAATTACTTTTTTTTTCAAATTGTTGAAAATCTATGTACGTAGATTCCATATAAATAACTACTAATTTTGATTACTGTTATTGAAGAAACAATAAAATGTTGACGAAAAATGTTGTGATAGTATGATAATATGCATTTCAAATTCATTTATCATTATTTAAAAATGTATTTTTAGATCCAGATCATTTGTAATAGCATATTTTATATACAAGATATGAAAATACATAACTTATATTTAAACAACATTTGGAATATATTTGAAAGACTTTAAGAGTAACTTAATTGCCAAAACAATCTTAGAAAAGAAGAAAAAAGTTGGATGGTTCACACTTCTTGACTTCAAAACCTACTATGAAGCTACAGTAATCAAGACAGTCCTGGTATAAGGAAAGACATATAGATCAAATAAATAGAATTGAGGGTTCAGAAGTAAACCATTACATTTAGGGTCAGTTGGTTTTTGACAAATACGTCAAGACAATTAAATGGGAGAAAGAATAGTCTTTTCAACAAATGGTGCTGGGACAACTGGATAGCCCCATGAAAAAGAATGAAATTAGATTCCTGCTGTACACCATATTAAAAATTATCTTAAAATGATCAGAGGCCTAAATATAATATAAGCACTAAAACTATGAAACTCTTAGAAAAAAACAGGTGTAAATCTTTGTGACCTTACATTAGGCAATGGATATAACACCAGAAACACAAGCAAACAAAGATAAAGTAGATAAATTGGACACAGTTAAGAAAGTGAAAAGACAACCACAGAATGAGAGAAAATATTTGTAAATCACATATCTCATAACAGACTTATATTCAGAATATTTAAAGAATTCTCAACAACACAAAGGCAAACAACCCAAATTTAAAATGCATAACTGATTTGAATAGACATTTTTACAAAGAAGGTATACAAATGGTCAATAGAACATGAAAAAATGTTCAACATCATTAGTCACAGGGAAATGCAAATCAAAACCACAATGAGCTACCACTGCACATCTACTAGGAAAGCTACAATCAAAAAGATAATAACAAGCATTGGTGAGGTTGTGGAGAAACTGAACTATTATACATTCTGGTGGGATTGTAAAATGGTATAGCCCCGGCCGGGCTCGGTGGCTCAAGCCTGTAATCCCAGCACTTTGGGAGGCCGAGGCGGGTGGATCACGAGGTCAAGAGATCGAGACCATCCTGGTCAACATGGTGAAACCCCGTCTCTACTAAAAATACAAAAAATTAGCTGGGCATGGTGGCGCGTGCCCGTAATCCCAGCTACTTGGGAGGCTGAGGCAGGAGAATTGCCTGAACCCGGGAGGCGGAGGTTGCGGTGAGCCGAGATCGCACCATTGCACTCCAGCCTGGGTAACGAGCGAAACTCCGTCTCAAAAAAAAAAAATGGTATAGCCCCTTTGGAACATACTCTGGCAGTTCCTCAAAAGTTTAAACATGGAATTACTGTGTGGCTCAGCATTTCCACTCCTATGTATATACCCAAAAGAATTGAAAACCTATGTCCACATAAAAACTTGTACATATATGTTCAGCAACATTACTCATAATAGCCAAAAAGTGGAAATAGCCCAGCTGTCCAGCAACTGTTGAATAGATAAACAAATATTGTGTAGTCATACAGTAGAATATTATCTGGCCATAAAGAGGAATGAAATACTTATATATGCAACAATACAGATGAATCTTAAAACATCGTGCTAAGTGAAAAAGCTAGATATGAAAAACCCCATACTGTATTTCATTGATATGAAATATCTAGAAAATGCAAATTCATAGGGACAGAAGGTAGATTCATGGTTGCCAGGAGCAGGAGGAAGAGGCAATGGGAAGAGACTGCTAATGCATATGGAATTTCTTTATGAGGTGATGAACGTGTTCTAAAATTAGATATTGATGATGGCTGCACAACTCTGTTAACATTACTAATAACCACTGGATAGTACACTTGAACAGGATGAATTTATCATTATATGGATTATTTTTCAATAAAGCTATTATAAAAAAGATAATTACCTTTATTAAACCACATTTAACTTTCCAAGTTTTTATTTTTTATTTAAAATATCCTGTAATAATGCTTTATACATCCTGTGATAGTTGATTGCTCCTAGAAGTATTTGAACATAAAAATATGTATCACAGTGACAGTGTTTGATATTTAAATAAAGGTATAATAGAACAATTTGTACTTGTGCTTTTTTTGAACAAAATGTTAAATAGAATTTTGTTCTGAGGTTGTTATTACATTTATTCTGGATAACTGTTAATAAAAGTTACATATGGACTATAGAGTGTATGAATTCATCTCAGACTTATGCCGGAATAGAAAATAAACTAGAAATGGAATTGATGATGTTACTTAATTCCTATCACTTGTGAAAAGTGAAAAATTATCACACTACTCTTAAATGTTTCTTAATATTTTTCATGTTAAATATTAAGAAAACTTGAGAAAAAAATTATAATTTGGAAGTACACCTGTAACTTATGAGTAAAATGGACCTGGTATCGTAGTGGAGTGAACTTTTATAGATTTGACAATCGTACATTTCCAAGCATTTGTCTCCAGCACCTGGCACAGTGTGTGACACACAGTAGAAGTTTTAAAAATATTGACTGAATGAACAAAAAATGTGATGCTGCATAGTAATTTACTCTAAGTAAATCTTCTCTTTTGGCTGATTCCTGCCATTGAAATTCAAGGCTGCCTTTGAAGGAAATTATTCACTGTATAAGAAATACTAAAACAGGTTTATCAAAGATTGTATAGTTGTATGTATGTTGTGTTGCCTCCGGTGCCTCTGTTGGGGCAAGGATTCCATGTTTAACAAATGGTGTTGGGAAAACTGGCTAGCCATGTGCAGAAAGCAGAAACTGGACCCCTTCCTGACACCTTACACTAAAATTAACTCCAGATGGATTAAAGACTTAAACATAAGACCTGGCACCATAAAAACCCTAGAAGGAAATCTAGGCAAAACTATCCAGGACATAGGAGTAGGCAAGGACTTCATGAACAAAACACCAAGAGCATTGGCAACAAAAGCCAAAATAGACAAATGGGACCTAATGAAACTCCACAGCTTCTGCACGGCAAAAGAAACAGTCACTAGAGTGGATCAGCAACCAACAGAATGGGAAAAAATTTTCGCAGTCTACCCATCTGACAAAGGGCTGATATCCAGAATTTACAAACAACTCAAGCAGATTTACAGGAAAAAAACAAACAAGCCCATTCAAAAGTGGGCAAAGGATATGAACAGATACTTTACGAAAGAAGACATATATGAGGCCAACAATCATATGAAAAAATGCTCATCGTCACTGGTCATCAGAGAGATGCAAATCAAAACCACATTGAGATACCATCTCACGCCAGTTAGAATGGCGATCATTAAAAAATCTGGAGACAACAGATGCTGGAGAGGATGTGGAGAAAAAGGAACACTTTTACACTGTTGGTGGGAGTGTAAATTAGTTCAACCATTGTGGAAGACAGTGTGGCGATTTCTCAAGGCCTTAGAAATAGAAATTGCATTTGACCCAGCAATCCCATTACTGGGTATATATCCAAAAGACTATAAATCGTTCTACTATAAGGACACATGTACACGAATGTTCATTGCAGCACTGTTTACAATAGCAAAGACCTGGAATCAACCCAAATGCCCATTGATAATAGACTGGATTGGAAAAATGTGGCACATATACACCATGGAATATTATGCAGCAATCAGAAATGATGAGTTCTTGTCGTTTGTAGGGACATGGATGAATCTGGAAAACATCATCCTCAGCAAACTGACACAAGAACAGAAAATGAAACACCGCATATTCTCACTCATAGGTGGGTGATGAAAAATGAGAATACATGGACACAGAAAGGGGAGTACTAAACACTGGGGTCTATTGGGGGGAAAAGGGGAGGGCCAGTGGGAGGGGGAGGTGGGGAGGGATAGCCTGGGGAGAAATGCCAAATGTGGGTGAAGGGGAGAAGAAAAGCAAAGCACACTGCCATGTGTGTACCTACGCAACTGTCTTGCATGCTCTGATCATGTACCCCAAAACCTATAATCCAATAAAAAATTAAAAAAAAAAAAAGAAGAAATACTAAAACAAACGCATATTAATTAGATTCCTCTCAGCTAGATGCACTTCTAAAATCTTATATCTTAGTTTTTAAAAATTCACTTTTAATGAGGACAATTTACACACAGTAGAATTCAACCCTTTTGAAAGTGCAATTCAATACACTAAAAATGATAATATAGTCATTTAAAATACTACCAGAGTGAGATATAGAACATTTCCATTTCCCCACATATTCTCTCATGGCTCTCTGTAGTGTGTCCCTTCATTCCACTACAAATCCCTGGCAACCATTAATATGGTTTCTGTCCTTGTAGCTTTGCATTTCAGGATGTTATATAAATGGAGTAATACAATATGTCTTTTGTGTCTGGCTTCTTTCACTTAGCAAAATGCCTTTGGGGTGCATATGCATTCATACACACATCAATAGTTCATTCCTTGTTATTTCTGAGTAGTAGTTCGTCTATAGTTTCAAATTTTCAAAAAGGCAAATTTGTTGGATCATGTCTATGCATACCACATAAATAATAATGACCCAACAACTTTGGATGACCTTACTGCATATTGCAGAGAGTATGAGGTAATTGGTTCTCCTAGTATGTCCCACATGTGACCATGGATGTTCCTGTGCCAGAACATTTGGCTTGTAGCTATACTGCAGTTTGGGGATACTTCATAAGTAGCCCTATTAATACTTGCCTGAACTTCGGTAGCAGCTGTGTGTCAACTGAAACTCAGGATTTTATTTATTTTTTTCTCTAAGAGTCTAACTAGCTTAACTGACACCATTGCAGTTTACATGATCTCTCTGAAGGCTGGATGGTGGTCTTAATTTTTATGGACTATCTGCACAAATATCAAATAAAGAGCTTGTAAGCCTTGAGAGAGAAGGCTGCCACACATCTCATAAGTAATTGGGGTTTCTAGACCCATGATTTGGAAAGATTGATGAATTTCATGGCTAGCAGGTAGGAAATAAAGAACATACTGTAGTCTATATCTTTGATTCTAGTATACTATAATCTGCTTTTTTTTGTTTTTGCTAAGTCTGAGAAAAGGGATGTAACTCAGATGTAGTCTGAAAGCAGCAGAAATGTATTAAAATTTAAGACAAGTTTCTATTTTATCTTATAGAAACAGTCAAATGCTTGATGAAGATAATGTATTGAATGAAACACCAAAATCCCCTGTTATTAATTTATCTCATGAGACTACTGGTGCCTCACAACTGGAAGGAAGTGCAGAAATAGCCAGGACCCAGATGACTACCACAAATAGTGTGGTGAGAAATTTGAGATCTCATTCATTGATAACATGTTCTTCAAGTTATTATAAAGGCAGAAAAGACAACTGAAATTAGATCTATTATGACAGTATTGCTAGCATTTATCAACTTTTGCTGATTTTAAGTTAAGCTCTAGAGAATATGGCAGTAGTCCAGCATTTAATAGAAATAATTAATTTCTTTAAGAAATTTGATGAACTCAGTATACAGTTGCATATGGGTGTTTTAATGGTAGCATTCGGTAAACCAAATATTTTACAAATTCATTAAGGATGTATGATTATTTTTAGTAATTTATAGGTGTCTTTTTAGTCTTTCCTAGGTGAATGTAGAGACTTCAGTAAGCAGCAGCCAGTCCTTGCTGAGAGGAAAAGAATCCTTCCAGCTTGGATGTTAGCAGAACATTTAAGTGATCAAAACCTTTCAGTACCAGCAATCAGTGGAGGTAGGTTTTTGTTTCTACTAATGCTGCCTTTCAAGAAAATATTAAACAGAATTTGAAAGTTTTTCTGAAGAAAATCTATGAACTGTCTCTATAGCGATAGAGTTTTATAAGTGTATAGCTTAGCCTAGTGTTTTTTAGATGTGAACATGAAGTCTAATTTAAAACATAAGCTATTACCATTTATCAAATACCATTTATACTATTTATTAAAACACTTGTTTTCATTTAACAAGTGCTATTATGTGCTAGAATTATATTAATAAAGACTTTCAAAGAAACCTCTTGGTGCTATGTCTGGGATAAAAGGCCAGCACAAGAAGAATGTTTAAAATTAATGTTTAAAAATGCCAGATGAATTGATATACCTTCAAGTTTACTGATTGTTTTTTCTGCCATCTCTAATTTGCTGTTAAGTCTATTTAGCAAATTATTAATTTTAGTTACTGTACTTTTTAGTTCTAAAATTCCTATTTGGGTTTTTTTTGTATAGTTTATGTTTCTCTGATAAGATTCTCTATTTATTCAATCTTTTGTATATTTTTCTGGAAGTCTTTGATCATATTTATAATAGCTGCATTAAAGTCTGCATCTGTGCACAACTTTGTCATTTCAGACTTATTTTTTATTGACTGCTTGTTTTTTATAGGGGTCACATTTCCTGTGTATTCTGTGCCTTGTGATTTTCTGTCGATATTGGATATTGTGGATGATACATTGCTCTTAATTATGTTATATTCCTCAGAAGAAGTATTTTTGTTGTAATAGCAATTAATTTGGCTGGATTCAGAGTCTACACTGTTTCACCTGTTATGGATGACAGCTGCAGTCTCTATGTAGTTCTTTCACTTTCTAGCTGCTGCATTTTTCTCTGAGTCACTGGGGTTGGCCCCATGCAAATGTAGTCTAGCAGTCAACCAAGAATTTGGGTCAAGTTTATAGGTAGGTTTTTTGCTCTTGCCCCTTCTGAGGCTGCCTTCCCTCCAGGATTTTATCCCTCACCCCTCTCTCTCTCTTCTAGCCTTAAACTCTCTGCTCTGACCATTTAAACCAGTAAGGTTTCTGCCACAAGTGAATTGGAGAATGCCCTCAGGAAAAAAGTCACAAGTTCACAAACCTCATAGGTTATAGTTAATTTCATCATCGACGCTTCTTCAACTCTGCCTCTTTGGTCAATCTCCAGTGCCTACAGATAGTTTAAATATTTTTTTATCCTGAATTTATAATGATTTTATTTGCAGTAATTAGTTTAGTTATGCTATTTTGCCATTTTACCTTAAACATTATTTTAAAAAAATTAACAGCACAAATGAATACACATTTTAGTTGGAAAGTTATACTCTTGGTGCTTTGTGTATTTTGCATAGTGGTCATAGAATTCTTCTAACATTTCGGATTAAATATTTTATTCACAGAATTTATCTTATTTAACGCTAGTTTGGATTATACTAGGATCAAAGTGTTCTCATGGGAAAAGTATAGTATACGTTATGTGTTAAAGGGGACGTGGTTTAATCTGGAGATTTGCAGTAAGTTTTATTCAAGTACAGTTGTTTTCAGTTCTCCCCACCCCCACAATTCATGTTTAATATATATATGTATTTTTATCAGTAACATCTCTGGCTGTATGTGTTGATCCTCAATTTGTAGGAAGGATGTGGGGAATGATAGTGGGGAGGTGCAGGCACTTTCCCTCAGTAGGACAGTTTCTCTGATAAAAGAAAGACTTGACCAAAAATTGGACCAATGTGACCTGGTCTCTGCAAACAACTCCTTTTCTTTCCGAGTTGTTTTACACTGCAACTGCTTCTGTGCTACCACTTATAGTAGTTCAACATGTATTTTGTTTCAGATACATTTTCTTTCACTTGATAGATGTTCCATATAAAATATGAAGCATCTTTTTGGGCACTTCACTTTGAAAATACATAATGAGAGTAATTTGACCTTGGTCTGGAATATTACATGTGTACAACGTACTTAAAATGCTAAAGCTTCAAAATAAGATAGAAAAGTCTTTGGATTCAGGTAATCTTTTTATAAACTAAGACTGTGGGAGAAGTACAGTATAAGAGCAAGATTAGGTTACCTAATTCCTTTTTTTTTTTTTTTCAGGTAAATAATAAAAATTTAATAGCAATATCATAAAATAAACACACATAAAAAATCAAGTATCTAGTTTCAGACATTAGAAGTAATATACATAATAAATTTAACATACTGATTGGTGCTGCAAGATAAGACTTTATTTTCCAAATTACATATCATGCCAACCAGCCTGCTTTGTACTCCTTTAAAGACAGTTTAGTATTTTAAAACAGTTCAGTAGCTGAATGCTGCTAATTAAAAGTTAAAACAATTAGACTTCTTCTGTGGTGCTGTTAATTTTTTAAAAAATTGGCCGGGTGCGGTGGCTCAAGCCTGTAATCCCAGCACTTTGGGAGGCCGAGGCGGGTGGATCACGAGGTCAACAGATCGAGGCCATCCTGGTCGACATGGTAAAACCCCGTCTCTACTAAAAATACAAAAATTTAGCTGGGCATGGTGGTGCGTGCCTGTAATCCCAGCTACTCAGGAGGCTGAGGCAGGAGAATTGCCTGAACCCAGGAGGTGGAGGTTGCAGTAAGCCGAGATTGCGCCATTGCACTCCAGCCTGGGAACAAGAGCGAAACTCCATCTCAAAAAAAAAAAAAAAATTATTTTGTTTGTTTAATAAATGACGGAGATCAATAGGCCAATGTGAGAGATTTTAAAAAATCAATTTGCAGGATGCATTGCAGCTTGTTCAGATATGGTTAACTTTCATATGTCTTTTGCAGCTTTAGGACTATAACTATGGTTTTGGTCTTTATGTAGATTATCTGAAACTAACTTGATTGTTGGAACCTTTGGAATCATTAGGAACAGAACAAATAGCATTAATTGATGTTATTTGACTTATTCAAGAGCATATAATAAATGCCAGAGCTATAATTAAGACCTAGCTCTGACTAACTTTAAAGCCCATATCCAAAGGCATATCATTGTACAGCCGCCTAAATTTACTCTTTATATGTTTGGTTTTTGTTTGTTTGCCTTTTTTGATATGCCCTTGAAATCTATCCTGGATTGTCTCTCAGTTTAACTCTTTGTTTAATTCTTTATACGTAGGGGAATTTTTGCTGTTAGGCTTTTTCATTTTTTCAGCCAATACAGTTTTTTATTGTTATCATCATTACTATATTTGTTTTATTATTATTATTTTATTTCAGTAGGTTTTTGTGAAACAGGTGGTGTTTGGTTACATGGATAACTTCTTTGGTGATGATTTCTAAGATTTTGGTGCACCTACTGCCTGAGCAGTGTACACTGTACCCAATGTATAGTCTTTTATTCCTCACTCCCTGACCTTTCCTCCCAAGTCCCCAAAGTCCATTGTGTTATTCTCATGCCTTTGCATCCTCATAGCTTAGCTCCCACTTATAAATGAGAACATACAATGTTTGGTTTTCCATTCCTGAGTTACTTCACTTAGAATAATGGTCTCCAATTCCATACAGTTTGCTGCAACTGCCATTATTTCATTCCTTTTTGTGGCTGAGTAGTATTCCATGGTGTGTGTACCATAGTGTGTGTGTATTCCATGGTGTGTATACACACACACACACGGATTAAATATATTTTATATATATCAGTTTCTTTACTCATTGATTGGCATTTGGGGCTCCATATTTTTACAACTGTGAATTGTGCTTTTATAAACATGTGTATCCAAGTGTTTTTTCATATAATGACTTCTTTTCTCCTGGGTATATCCCCAGTAGTGGGATTGCTGGATCAAATGTTAGATCTACTTTTAGTTGTTTAAGGACTCTCCATACCATCTTCCGTAAAGGTTGTACTAGTTTACATTCCCACCAGCAGTGTAAAAGTGTTCCCTTTTCACCACAGTCATATCAACATCTATTATTTTTTTGATTTTTAAATTATGACCATTCTTGCAGGAGTAAGGTGTCATTGCATTGTGGTTTTGATTTACATTTCCCTGATAATTAGTGACGTTGAGCATTTATTTTTGTATGTTTGTTGCCCGTTTGTATATCTTCTTTTGAGAATTGTCTATTCATGCCCTTAGCTTACTTCTTGATGGAATTTTTTTTTTTCTTGCTGATTTGTTTTTTCTTGTAGATTCTGGATATTAGTCCTTTGTCAGATGCTTAGTTTGTGAAGATTTTCTACACTGCTGATTATCTCTTTTGCTGAACAGGAGCTTTTTAGTTTAATTAAGTCCCATCTATTTATCTTTGTTTTTATTGCATTTTGCTTTTGAGTTCCCAGTCATGAAGTCTTTGCCTAAGCCAATGCCCAGGAAGTTTCTGATATTCCAGAATTTTTATGGTATGAGGTCTTAGATTTAAGTCTTTAATCCATATTGAGTTGATTTTTGTATAAGGTGAGAGATGAGGATCCAGTTTCATTCTTTTACATGTGGCTTGCCAATTATCCCAGCACCATTTGTTGAATAGGGTGTCTTTTCTCTGCTTTGTATTTCTGTTTGCTTTGTCGATAATCAGTTGGCTATAATTATTTGGCTTTATTTTTGGGTTATCTATTCTGTTCCATTGGTCTATGTGCCTGTTTTTGTACCCGTACCATACTATTTTACTGGCTGTAGCCTTGTAGTGTAGTTTGAAGCTGGGTAATGTGATGCCTCCAGATTTGTTCTTTTTGCTTAGTGTTGCTTTGGCTAGACTTGCTTGGGGCTGTCTTTTGGTTTCACATGAATTTTGGGATTGTGTTTTCTAGTTCTCTGAAGAATGATGATAGTATTTTGATGAGAATTTTATTGAATTTGTAAATTACTTTTGGCAGTATGTTCATTTTCACAATATTAATTCTACTGATCCATGAACATGGGATATGTTTCCATTTGTTTGTGTCATTTGTGATTTCTTTTAGCAGTGTTTTATAGTTTTCCTTGTAGAGGTATTTTACCTCCTGGGTTAAGAGTATTCCTAAGTTTTGCTTTGCTTTTTAATTTTTTTTTGCAACAATTGTAAAAGGGGTTGAGTTCTTGATTTGATTCTCAAGAACTGTTGGTGCATAGCAGTACTAAGGATTTGTGCACACTGGTTTTGTATCCTGAAACTTTACTGAATTTATCAGTTCTAGGAGCTTTTTGGATGTGTCTCTAGGTGTACAGTCATATCATCAGCAAACAATGACAGTTTGACTTCTTGACTCTTCACTGATTTGGATGCGCTTTATTTTTTTTTCTTGTCTGGTTGCTCTGACTAGGACTTCCAGTGCTATGTTGAATGGAAGTGTTGAAAGTGGACAGCCAATATAGTTCTAGTTAATTTTATTTTTTATGTCTCAGGTATTAGCTCTTGGATGTTGTCATGAGTTTCTCAGGCCTGGGCTAAATTTTTTTTACATGTCCTTAGTGATTGAGAACTAACTATATTTAGGGAAAGGCTTTCAGAACCTCCCCTTTCTTGAACTCCATTTATCTCTGTTCCTTCAGCCTTCCAGGCTGCAGACTAACCATAACTCTTAGGTTAGGATACTCTTGGTAGATTGAAAAAGGAGCTTTTATATTTTCACTGGTATCATGCTATTCCATAGAGCTCTTCTTCCTCCATCTTCCAAGCTTCCAACATGAAGTTGTAAAACATGGCACATGCTGGTGAAGATTGAACTGGTCCTCATACTGTTTGGTTTGCATTTAATTTTATACTGTGAATATTTTCAGTATGGCAATTTGATGCCGATTATAAATATTGAGCTAGCATTATTTTAATTGGACTACAGTTCAAAATGTACTTACATTTATATAAAGTGCTATTCTGTTTACTTTGTTTCCAGCAACTTTGCCAAGTTATCTAATTTTAATAGTTTTTGAACCTCATATTTTCTAGCTGTATAATCATATTATCTATAGAATTAGGGTAATTTTTGCTCTTCTGATCTACTTTAAATAAAAATGCTTAAAATTGGTCTATTCTTGTTCCTGATTTTAATAGAAATTCTCTTAGTATTTTGGCATTTTATATGGTTGGTATTAGATTCTGATGAATAGTGATCTCATGTTTAGTATGGTTCATTTTATTTTTACTGTTTTTTCAGGAATAACTGTTGAATTATTTTTAAAATGTTTTGGTATAGAAATAGTTCTGCGTTTTCATGTGTTAATGTAATTAATGATATTAGTAGATATCCATATATACTATGCTAACGTTCCTGGAATAAGTTCAGTCATGATAACTTATTATTTTTATACTCTGTTAGATTAAATTTGCTAATGTTTGATTTAGGATATCTCTATTTATAGTTATGGTTAGTCTGTCTTTTTCTTTATGTAAGCCTTCTATGTGAGATTTTAATCTTGGAGCACTGAATTGAGAGGTTTTCCATATATAGTCAGGGACAATTTGAATAATTGAAAAATTATGTTTCTTCATGGAACTCTCCTGATCTGGGCATGATGCCTGTTTTTAGTAGTTGATAATTCTGGTGGAGGAATAGGTAAGTTAGTTAGACCAGTTAAAAAAAGAATGAAGCACCCAGAAACAGATTTAAAAAACATACATTTAATATATAAATACATATCAGTTCAAACTGATAGAGAAAAGATACATTATACAGCAAATGACATTGAGAAAATTGGCTCTCCATTTGGAAGAAAATAGTATTAAAATACTACTTTATACTACATTCAGAAACAAATTTCTATTGAATTAATAGTCTTAATATAAAAATTAAAACAATTAAGGCATTTGAAGAAAGTATGGGAAAAATATTTTGATTACTTCTGTACACTTTCTTTAGATCATAGAGAGCCTGAAATCCTAAGAGAAAACCTGATAGATTCACCTAAATAAAAAGGAAAAATACTTGTATGCAAAAGATACTATAAATAAAGTCAGAGGTAAATAACAGACTGGTAAATGATATACTGAGATATATCTACCACATTTATAAAAGAAGGTTTTTTAAACATTGTCTATTTAGTAACAAAAATGATAAAACTCAGTAGAAATTTTGAACATTATATATGACATGCTACAGAAGAATAAATACAAATAGTAAATGTATGACTTTACGATCAAGTAGGAAAATGTAAATTGAAGACAACTTGTTACCATTTTTTGTTCATTAACTCATCAACATTTAAGCAATTGATAATATCCAGTGTTGGCAGAAAGGAGTATTATCAAAAATTACTTGTAGAGGTATAAATTAGTATAACCTTTCAAAATCACTTGTAATATCTCTTAAATTTTTACATATACAATACACTTTGGTCCAGAAATTGTAATCCTAGGTATTTAAACCACAGAAATAATAACATTTGTACTTTAAGTCCTGTATATGTTTATGCATATGTATTTGTAGATATATTTGCTTAAAAACAGGAAAAAATTGAGAAGTATATACATGTAATAGTTAATATAGCTGGGAGTAGTTCCTCTAGAGGGTAAGATTGAATGGATGTATTTTTAATGATACATATATATAGTTGAGCTCTTGTTCATGTAGTGTTAGTATAACAGCTCATGTAAGTGCCATTATTAATAGTGAAAATTAAGCTGTTTTATATTAATAGTTAATTTCTTTTATATTTCTATCATTTAACTGTACCTATTTTAGATTTCAGAAGAATATTTGTCATACCAGATATAAAGACTCTTTTGAGCCATTTTAAGCTATTCATTTTTTATATACTCTTTGTGAAGAGCATTTTAATAATATCAAAATGGCTTCTTATGCAAAAAACAAAAATTAGCCCTAGTCCCTAGAGGGGGTTTGTAGTAAAGAATTTGGAGTTTTGAGTGTTTAAAATATATATATTTTTAATTTTAGAATTTGGGGTACATGTGTGACACTTGGAATATATGGACTACCATTTGAGTGGAAGCTGTGTCTTGTTTAATTTACTATAGTTCTTAGCATAATCAGCAATACCATTAGTTCAGTATTTCACTTGGCATTTGGTCATTTGGTGTACCAAGCTACACAGACCTATTAAGTCATATTTATGACAGTTTCCAGAAATGATACGAAATATTTTCTAATTTAGATTCATGATGAATATTTAAATAATTTAAAGTTTAGTTTTTAGAATAGTTTATTCACAAGTTTCCTGTGATAAATATGTTATTTTTACATTGATTCAACTGATATTCCTATTTGATAATAAGGACAGGACAGTATTCTATTGGCAGTTCTTTCCTCAACTTAAAGAGGGAATGTTATTTCAGGCTACTTGAATGTCCTTTGGAACTGGACTAAGCAAACTACAGCCCATGTGCCTAATTTGGCCCACTGCCTGCTTTTATAAATAAAGTTTTATTGGAACATGGCCACGGTCAGCCATATATGTGTTGTCTGTGACTGCTTTCATGTTACAAGGGCTGAGTTGGGTAGTAATGACAGACACTGTATGGCCCACAGAGCTTAATGTATTTACTCTCTGGCTTTTTACAGAAAATGTCTGCTAATCCCTGCTTTAGAATATTGGAATAATGACTACATATTGCTTTACATACCTATATCCTGGCTCTTAAGAGAATCTTTGGACAAATTGTTTACGTTCAGAATTCATTTAGTCAGAAATATTTATTGAACACCAGTTTTGTGCTAGGCATAGTTGCAGATACTAGAGACACAAGGGAGGAACAGTGAACAAGGCATGTAAAGTTTTTGCCTTCATGAAGATATCACTCTCAAGTAGAGGAGAAGGATAATTTGCCATGGACAATTATGAATTTGTTAACAAAATATGATAGTGACTTAGGTTTGCCAACTGCATTAAACTTTAGGTAAGTATTTTATGGGATACTTACCTAAGTAAGTAACAATGTCCATTGTTATTGAGATTTATTTACTTCATGGGCAAAGTTGGTAGAAATCACTCTCCTGTTTGGGTTATGTTGGGTTTGCCTATTATCCCAGCACTTTGGGAGGCCCAGACAGGAGGATCATCTGAGGTCAGGAGTTTGAGACTAGCCTGGCTAATGTGGTGAAACCCCGTCTCTATTAAAAATACAAAATTCAGCTAGGTGTGGTGGCTCGCACCTGTAATCCCAGCTACTTGGGAGGCTGAGGCAAGAGAATTGCTTGAACTTGGGAGGCGAAGGTTCCAGTGAGCCGAGGTTGTGCCACTGCACTCCAGCCTGGGTGACAGAGCAAGACTCCATGTCATAAAAAAAAAAATGAGCTTAATTTCTCACTGTGTGTGTGTTACAGTTTAATAAGTATATGTAAAGTTCATTGGATAGCTGTGAGTCAGATTTTCTGTCAGAGAAATTCAATTCTACAATTATAAAAATAACGTGTATCAGGTACTCTGCTAGTTTATATGTCTTCATTTACTTCTCCTAATAATTCCATGAATCATAATTCCCATTATCCATGTTATGAAACCAAAGTTGAGAAAGGTAAGATAAAATAGTTAATGGATGGAGCCCCCATTGGCATCTCAGCCTGGTAGAATCCAGGACTGGAGCCCTTGGCCATTTTGCTGCCTAATACTTTCTGAGATTTGCACATAAGTGTTTTCAAGTTAGCATTACTATAAATGGAACTTTAATTTTATTTACCCTTTTATCCTTTTTCCCCCCTTCCCCCCGCTTTTTTTTTGACAGAGGCTCACTCTGTTGCCCAGGCTGGAATGCAGTGGCATGAGCTCAGCTCACTGCAACCTCCACCGCCTGAGTTCAAGTGATTCTCATGCCTCTGGCTCCTGAGAAGTTAGGATTACAGATGCATGCCACCACACCTGGCTATCTTTTGTATTTTGAGTAGAGGCCAGGTTTCACCATGTTGGCCAGGCTAGTCTCGAATCCTTTTTCTTTTTTTAGTATGGATTATTGACATTTGAAAATACAGAAGATGATTTTCTTCTTCTTTTTCTTTATGTGTGTTTAAGGTAACATAACCCAGGGAAGTGGAAAAGAAGAAATCTGCAAAGATAACACCCAACTAAACATAACACAGCAAGGAAGAAGGCAATTAATTTCTGCAGGAAGTTCAGAAAATATATCAGCAGAACAAGACACAGGAGAAAAGTGCAAAAATGCTGATCAGGAAGAGTCTGTCATTTCAACAAAGGTGATTTTTAAAAAATTCATTATTTGATTGTTTCTTTGTTAGGTATTTTAGATAGAAATTGATCATATGTGGTACAAGGAGAAGCCAAAACTGCCTTTTTTTGTTGAGTCTATGAAGACAAAAACTAGCCCAATTTTTTCAGACTTACTGAAACAAATCTTTAATATAGTATTTGTTTCCTTTGTAGAAAATAAAACCATGACATTTAGAAATTTACAGACTGGGAAAAAAAAAAGTGGAGGCCACCTGACTCTGGTCATAATTTGGCACCTCCATTATGAAACCTGGCTTCTCTTATTCCATTGGTTGTTCTCAGATTGCATTTAGCCACCATTTTCTTGCTGAGTGTGATGAGAAAAACAAATGATGGGATATTTCTTAATTACCTGTTGCAGGATCACTTCTGGGCTGACTCACAGTATATTTCTAGACCTTATTTCCTCTTTCAGTTTTTTGCTGACTCACTAGAATGGTTTGACTGAAATAAGCATTCTGTAATACTGGGTACTTAAATAAAATGAGGACTGCTTATTAGAAGTACTTAAAAAGAGAGAGAAAGGTAGAGATGGCCCCTGGAGAAAAAGTTCAGGCATGCTTCCTCTCTAGTGAAAGGTGGCTTATGATGACAGTTTTCATGATCCTTGTAGTCTTGTGGGTGAGCTCTGTGGATGGATCCCTGTCTTAGTCTCAGGGAAAACCAAAGGAAGAGGATTGGTCATAGAAGACTGTGTACTAAAATGATTGAAATGCCAGCATCTACCTTAGAGATCAGTCTTTGAATACATTCTTCTTACTCTTCCCCTGTCGCTCCAGCTTCTCACTGGAGTCTGTCTTCCAGCTAGAGAAGTGGGGCCTGGTCACTATGCACTCAATTCCTTTGCTTTACTTATGGAGGCGAGCTTAATACATGAAAACAAAATGTTTTCTGCTTCACATATATTTGCCATAAAACTTAGTAAAATAAATTTTTTTTGTATAAACACTGAGCCCTCATATACTCTATTCTCTGAACTCCGAATATGACAATTGTTTGCCTTTTTAAATAGAAATTATTGTATTCATAAGAAAATCTATAGTATACATGTTTTCCTCTATTTATCCCAACCCATAAAGTTTGATAATCACAAGAAAAACTTTGAGAAACATCTTAATTGTTAGATTATAGAGAGGAGCAGATTTAAAATATTCAAGGTATTGTGAGGTTTTGATGACATCAGGGGAGTATTACAGACAGGTCCCCAAAATGCCCAAGTTCTATTTGGCCAATTGCTTTTTCTCTCCTTCCTTCTGAGGGAGATTTACCTCTTCTAGCACAGGAAAAATAAGGCTTAAGTTTTCATGATTCTTTATGCAGGTAAAGCTGAGGCAGAGAACATGACTTAAACTGAAGATCCCAACAGGGCCTTTCCAAACCCCACCCTCCATCTCTGACTAGTTTGAGTCTGAACACTGAACCTTTAGAACAGCTAGTCCTAAAGGGATGGCTATAGTGCAGAGCAGGTGAGAGGAAACAAAAGGTTAGGCTCACCTATCTAGTCTAATGACAGGAGGTTGCCAGCTACAAAAAAACCAATAACAGTTTAGCCAGGCCTACATTTGGATCAGTGTACTTAGAATTAATTACATTCTCTTTTGGAAAAGTAGGAGAAGCAGTGGAAAGAAGGGACAAAAATCACTTTTGCCCAACTAGACCTTGTTTCTGAGATTCTGATTCATTTGGTGTGTGGAGCCTGTGCATCGGTGGTATCCTAAACTCTCCCAATTTTAGCGTCCCTTCAAAGTTGAGACCTACCGATGTACCATCATTGAGCACCTCAGAGGAAACTAAGGCCCAAGTTCACATTGTTAGGAACCTTGGCTTCAAACATAGGTCTTTTCATTTTGGGTATAATGAACTTTTCTACCATACATATTAGACTATGAAAAGAGTTTTGTGACTCTAGTAACTTCTCTTCATTTTCAGAAATAGTCTGTATTTTTCATCAGTTCTTGTATGTCTTTCTACAAAATTATGTAACTGTCTAGTAATGAAAGTGAGGGTACTTGAATTGATGAACTTTAGTGAAAAGGATGGTTGCCATGGTTTGAGTGTTTTTGTCTCCTCTAAAGATTTATGTTGAAACTTAATCCTCAGTGCAACAGAACTGGGAGGGGGCCTAATGGGAGGCTGTTTAGGTTATATGCTCCATGCTCATGAATGGATAATGCTGCTGTAAAAAGGGCTTGCAAAGCTGGATGCAGTGCCTATAGTCCCAGCTACGTGGGAAGCTGAAGCAGGAGGATTGCTTAAGCTCAGGAGCTTAAGGTCAGCCTGGGCGACATAAGGAGACCTTATCTCTATAACAAGGTGGACTTAGCTTGTAGGATTGGGTTTATGCTTTCACTCTTCTGCCATGAATGACACAGCATTCATCCTTTCATGCTCTTCCACCTTCCCTCACATAAGAACACAGTAAAAGGCCCACACCAGATGCTGGTGCCTTGATCTTGGATTTTCCAGATCCCAGAACTGTAAGAGAATAAATTTCTGTTCTTTATAAATTGCCCAATTTGTGATATTGTTATCGCAGTTACAAAACAGACTAAGACAATGTATTATCCTTTACACAATCTAATGAGAACTCTTGTAAATGATGGAAGCCTAACTGAAACAACGTAAGTGAAAGTAGTTTGGCAAAGTGTTTTAGCTGTCTATTGCTGTGAAATAAGCTACCCCAACACTTAGTGGCTTAACACAACATGATTATATCAGTGATTATGATTATATTCTGTCTTATCATTGTGAGGGTTGGCCGGCCTCAGTTGGGCAATTCTTTTATGACACATTTTTGGTATCAACTGGGCTTCATTCGGCTGAGAACTCAGCTGAAGATGGAGCATCTGTGGTAGCTTTACTCATGTGAATGGTGCCTCAGCAAAGGTTGGTGGAATGGCTGGGGGCCACCTCCCTCCTTGTACCATGAAGTAGCCCAGACTGAGCATCTTTACCTGACAGCTGGGCCCCAAAAAAGTGATGTCAAAGCTGTTAGATCTTTTCAGGCCTACAACTGGAATTGTCATTTACGCTGAATTCTTTTGGTCAGAGTAAGTTACAAGGCCTCAGATAGATGGCAGTGTGAGATGAGGGTGAAGACAACAGTTCAACAAGTTTATTGAAATGTTTTCAGTCACAGATACAATCCTGGCAGCTTGCTAGAGGAGAGATTGGAAAAGAACAAGATTAAAGATGTGGAGGTAAGGGAAGAGATTGTGGAATTAACACAGTGATATAATAGAGAATCTAAGCTAGGGCAGTGACTTTAAGGATGGTAAGAAGTATTGGATTATATAAATATTTAGGAATAAAATTGTAGGACTTCTTGCTTGAATCTGGGGAGAGAGGACAAGAAGGAGTAAAAGATAGACTTCTACATTTCTGTCTAGCATGAATAAATGAAATGTGTTGGCAGAAACTATGCCAGAGAACACAGAGGCAGAATGTCAGTATTGACATTTAGAGTTTGAGGAGCATGGAATATTGAGAAAGAAATGTGTAGCTAGTGGTTGAATGTATGAGTTTGAAGCTCAGGAGTGAAGTTGGGCCTGGAGGTTAGGAGTTTTTAGTCTTGTAGCACGTCAATATTAATGGAATTGATGCAGGACTTTCAAGGTAATTTATCACCACAGACATTCTTGCCAGGAGCAGTTTGGAAAGAACAATAAATTACTTTATTGAATTTGTTCTAGGTGGAAGTTCTTTATCTTCTCCCTTCTAGTACATTAACACTCAGATGGTTGAGAGGCAAGAGAAGGGCTTGTTTGATAGGTTAAACGGCTATTTCAGTAGCCTTAATAATACCTTCCCACAACCTCCAGACACCCAGGTCACCCTCTATCAGCTCCATGCTCTTCAGTCCCTCAGGTCTCTAACATGTATATTTACATTGTAGGGGATCTGGCCACTCTATTCTGAGTTACCAGCCTTCCACATTTAATCCTGTGCATTTTCACCTAATCTAAGAAATAAACAATGTGGGATGCTTAGGAAATATAGAGCTCTCTGCTTTTCTCCTACTTCTAAGTACAGAGCACCTTCCATCTTTCCTATTCCCTCACTTGCCAGTTCAGTGACTTACTCTAGCTCCTGAGCTTTGTAATTGGCACAGTGCAAATTTCTGTCTCAGCAAACTTACAAATTACTGCATGTAATGGATTTTTGGACCATTTATAAATAATTTAAACTATGAATGTTAAATTCTTGAATGCCAAGGGTGTACTATAAATCAGTATTTCATGGAGTTCATGAAGAGCATTGTGATTTCCAGCTTTTGATCCTCTTAAAATATATTTGAGAACCTCTGATCCATAGTATTGATATTTGGGACTTTAACAGTCCTTTCTCTTTTAGAATAAGTTAGCATATTAAACATATACTCCTCATGAGGATTTAAAAATAAAACAAACTCTAATCTTTCGTGGAAGTTGACAGAGTTGAAATATGATACTCTACATTTCATTTCTTATATTTCATTTTGTTGGTTTTTTATTTTTATTTTTAAATGGCAACATAATACATGTTTATCGTCAAAAATGGAAGTATCAGAAGCATTTGAAGAATGAAAACCTCCATTTACTTCATCCTTCAGTATCATTGCCGTACTAATTTTTGGTTTATATACTTCTAACTCTTTTCATTTGGATTTACACAGTGAAGGCACACAGATATATAAGGAATTAAAAAAAAAAACTAAATGGCATCACAATATAGATATTGTTCTTGTTTAGTTTAAAACATCTTTAGATGTTTTTATTTTAATGTCTGCATAGTGTTTCAAAATAAGAATATAATCTAATTTTTTTAACCACTTCCCTAGTTGACCTTTTTTTTTTTTTAAATGTGATATGATATTGAATGGAATTGTTTCCCTGTTGTCCCAGAACTGCTGCTAAGGCTCAAAGCTGTGAGCAGAAGTACTAATAAAGTATCCCATGTTAAGGGGCTCTCAGCAGTGAAAAACAGCCTTTTCCCTTTATGGTGTATTTAAAGGTGCGAAAGTGGCCACCATCCCAACCCCTAGGCTTTATACAAAGAGAATTGAGAGGCCAGAAGGTTTTAAGGTTAAGGGAAGTGCAGTGTTTATGGGAGACATTATTTCTACCTTTTCTAAAATCAAGAGAAGAGGGACACTCTAAGAGAATTACTTGTGGAGTTTGGAAATGCCAACAGGAACAAGAGATACATTTTATTGAACTTCTGTTAGCCAGTGCTACCTGAACAAGGAAAAAGAAAACTGGGGAGAACTGACCCAGTGAGGGACTACCAAGTAGGGGGTTGGGTTAGGATTGCCCAATTCTCACTCGAGAATTCCAGTTGCTGGCACCAGCCAGTTAGTCCTGTAGTTGGGGGGATGAGATTGGGGTGTAATTGTGCAGCTTGAGAGCAAAGGGCATATGTTTTAGAGATATATATGAATGTTACAGTGAGGGTCAGCCCCAAGATAATCCAAAGGATTATTTTTCCCATAGGTTATCTGTTACTATAAGAACCATGTTAAGATATAGTTTCCTTTTTTCAAGGCAGTCAGTCAGTTTCAGTAGCATTGTAAATTTATATACTGTTTCTTAAAAAATGAAATATCTTCTTAAGAAATTTAAGCTATTAAATATTAGGTAATGTAAAACCAGCTTTTTTTTCAGATGGCATCCAGCATACATGAGTCCTTAGTTATAAATGGAAGCAAACATTGATATGTATCTGGTATGTTGTTATCACATCCTACAAATGGTTACCAGGAGGACTGGGGTTTATCTGAGCATTGTTTCTACTCCACAAGAAGTATAAGTAATTAAAAGATAATTTTTAACAGAATAAGACCAGGCTTATTGTTTGCGCTGGTAGTAAGTACAAATTATAAAGTTTCTGCAGTGCTTAATGAGAATATTTATTTGGTTAAAAGCACTTTCAGTTTGGTTAAACTCAAGCCTTTATTAGATAAATTTAAAGTCTGAAGACTTTAAATTTTGCATAAAGCTATGTTCTGACCAATTTGGAAAAAGAATCAGATCTTGCAAAATTTTCCGTGAGGGCAAAACAATTTTATTATTTGGCTATGTTAAAATCATGATTATATTTAGAGGGCAGAAATAATGTATTATACATTAATGTAGCTTATAAGAAATGATAAGGGGCCAGGGGCAGTAGCTTATGCCTGTAATCTCAGCACTTTGGGAGGCTGAGGTGTGTGGATCACCTGAGGCAAGCAGTTCGAGACCAGCCTGGCCAACATGGTGAAACCCTGGTATTTTAGCTCTACTAAAAATACAAAAATTAGACATCATGATGGCATGTGCCTGTAATCCCAACTACTTGGGAAGCTGAGGTGGAAGAATAGCTTGAATCTTGGAGACAGAGGTTGCAATGAGCAGAGATCGTGCCACTACACTCCAGGCTGTGGGACAGAGCAAGACTCCATCTCAAAAAAAAAAGAAAAGAAATTATAAGGACAGTGCATGTTAAGAACATGACACATTGTTGAACATGACGTATTGTTAAACAGTGACATTTAAGAGATATTAAAGATTACGTTTAATGAAAGCAGATGTCTTCTCTTATATTTTATTGTATTTTCTGGTTATTTTTCACTGAAGGTTTAATACAACCATATTGATTGTAAAGGTTTAATACAACCGTAAATTTCTTTTCTAATAACTAAAAATGTTTTAAGTTATTAAACTAAGAACAGAAAAGAGTGGCATTTAATAACTTTAAAATGTGAATCTTGAAGTTTTAAGTTTACATTTTGCATGGATCTTGTAGTTTTGTGCTGATATGCTTGAGTTTCTTTTTTAAAATATTTCATTTATTTCTGATGTTTTTCATTTTTGTTTTATAGGAAATGCCACAATCATTCTCTGCAGTCACATTAAGTAATGCAGAGATGAATAATATTAAGACTAATACACAGAGAAATAAACTTCCAATAGAGGAACTTGGTAAAGTTTCTAAACGTAAAATTGCCACCAAAAGAAAACCACATGAAGAAGATGATGCAGTGAGCTGTTTTGAGAATTGTTTGAGTGCCCAGGGCGAGTCATTCCGGGATGAGTCTCAAGGGTCTCATCCTGAGTCCAGCTCTAATCCCTCCAATTCAGTTCTACAAGGTTCTGAAGAAAACATGGTCAAGAGGACGTCCTGCATGTATGGGGCAAACTGCTATAGGTAAAATGAGTTTTTAAATAGCATTTTAGTAGCATTTAATTCCATTATTTTGATAGCATGTAACTATGTAGCTACATGCTACAGTGTATTAAAAATCTGATAAAACCCACTGGCCTAAAGGTTAGGGGCTTTAGTCATGTTTCTACTGTTTGTACTTTCTCAGTGTATTTTCTAGACATGCTGACTAATGTAAAGATCTGAATACTGGGGAATCCAGATATAAAAACTGAATCACTCAGACCTAAATACCTGTTATTTAATCCTTTCTTAGATATTAGAGAGATGGCTTCCTCAGTAGTTGTTGTATATAGTATAACTATAATTTTAGGTGTGTTTAGGTGTCTTACTCATACATGTGCAGTTTTCTTTATATTTTTCTAATGGTGCTTTGAATCATCATGGTACCCTCTAAACCAACTGAATATAATAATCCTGGATTGATGGTTGTTTCTATACTTGCTTCATTTATTTACATTGCCCTATATATTCTAATTCCTTATTTTGAGAATTCAAATTATGATCTCTTAGTTTTAGCTATACTTTCATCCATAGTGTTTACAGTAACATGTTATAATTATATAACCCTATTTCAGAAAGATTTATTTGCCATTCTAACTTGGCAAACCAAAATATTCTAGCAATGCATTCTAGTAGATTATTGTCTTCTGTGTCAATAAGACATTAGTCAGCATGTGTACATATAAAACATTTAATTCCCCCACTGTATCTTAAAAGCCTATAGCAGGATTTTCTAGAAGATGGATATCTTTGTTACAATAGTATATTTTAACATATTCTGTTAATTTCACATTCATATTATTTCTCTTTAAAATGTATTGCCATTTTAGCACTTGAATAACTCATATTTTTCAACTTGAATAGTTCTGATTTATGCCTTTTAAAATGCATAAATATTATATCCTGAAATTTTGCATGCAAAGGCGACTGATTCAGTTCAATTTTGGGAGGGAACAATTCAGTTCATAACACAGTTTAAAAGAAAAAATTCATAATCATCTCAATGGAGAAAAGTCATTTGATAAAGTTCAAAATCCCATTTATTTAAAAATTCTTAACAATGTAAGAATAGAAAATACTTCTTCAGTTTAATAAAGAATATCTACAGAAACCAGCAGCTAACTTCATACTTAATAGCGAAATATTAAAGTTTCTCCCATGTTATTGGAACTAACCCAGTATGTCTACTATTACCACTCCTATTCAGCATTGCAGTAGAGATCATATCCCCACTAAGCATATAGTTAGCATACACTAAGGCAAGAAAAAGGAATAACTAATGTAGAGTGGAAAGGAAGATGTAAAACTGTAATTATGTACAGATTACATGATTGTATAATTTTGAAAATTCAGAATAACCTCTTTTTAAATTATACATCAAGTTCTGGGATACATGTGCAGAACATGCAGGTGTATTATACAGGTATACATGTGCTATGGTGGTGTGCTGCACCCATCTAGGTTTTAAGCCCCACATGCATTAGGTATTTCTCCTTATGCTATACTTCCCCTTGCCCCACACCACCCCGACAGGCCCTGGTGTATAATGCTCCCTTCCCTGTGTCCATGTGTTTTCATTGTTCAACTCCCACTTATGAGTGAGAACATGCAGTATTTGGTTTTCTGCTCTGTGCTAGTCTCTGAGAATGATGGTTTTCAGCTTCATCCATGTCCTTGCAAAGGACATGAACTCATTTTTCTTTATGGCTGCATAGTATTCTGTGGTATATGTGTGTCCCATTTTCTTTATTTAGTCTATCATTGATGGGCATTTGGGTTGGTTCCAAGTCTTTGCTATTGTGAACAGTGCCTCAATAAACATACATGTGCATGTGTCTTTATAGCGGAATGATTTATAATCCTTTGGGTGTATACCAGTTATAAGATTGCTGAGTCAAATGCTGTTTCTGATTCTAGATCCTTGAGGAATTGCCACACTGTCTTCTACAATGGTTGAACTAATTTATGTTCCCACCAACAGTGTAAAAGCATTTCTGTTTTTCCACATCTTATCCAGCATCTGTTTCCCAACTTTTTAATGATCACCATTCTAACTGGTGTGAGATGGTATTTGTTTAAGTTTCTTGTAGATTCTGGATATTAGCCTTTTGTCAGTTGGATAGATTGCTAAAACTTTCTCCCATTCTGTAGGTTGCCTGTTCACTCTGATGATAGTTTCTTTTGCTGTGCAGAACCTCTTTAGTTTAATGAGATCCCATTTGTCAATTTTGGCTTTTGTTGCCATTGCTTTTGGTGTTTTAGTCATGAAGTCTTTACCCGTGCCTGTGTCCTGAATGGTATTGCCTAGGTTTTCTTCTAGGGTTTTTATGGTTTTAGATCTTAAATTTAAGTCTTTAATCCATCTCGAGTTAATTTTTGTATAAGGTGTAAGGAAGAGGTCCAATTTCAGTTTTCTGCATATGGCTAGCCAGTTTTCCCAACACCATTTATTAAATAGTGAATCCTTTCCCCATTGCTTGTTTTTGTCAGGTTTGTCAAAGATCAGATGGTTGTAGATGTGTGGTGTTATTTCTGAGGCCTCTCTTCTGTTCCATTGGTCTATATATCTGTTTTGGTAACAGTACCATTCTGTTTTGGTTACATTAGCCTTGTGGTATAGTTTGAAGTCGAGTAGTGTGATGCCTCTAGCTTTGCTCTTTTTGCTTAGATTGTCTTGCCTATATAGGCTCTGTTTTTGGTTTCATATGAAATTTAAAGTAGTTTTTTTCTAATTCTGTGAAGCCAGTGGTAGCTTGATGGGAATAGCATTGAATCTATAAATTACCTTGGGCAGTATGGCCATTTTCACAATATTGATTCTTCCCATCCATGGACATGAAATAAGAGAAAATTCAAAATAATCTTAAGATAAACTGAATTAATAAATGAAGTTAAGACAGTCATTCAACTCAAAATGAACATTCAAAAATAAATAAATTTCTGTATCCTAGTAACAAATATCCCCAGGAAAATGCATATAGATGTGCATCAAAAGGCTTATACTAAAATGCTCATTGCAGTATTATTTATAAAAGTCATTACCTGAAATGAACTCAAAAGTTTATCAGTAGTAAAATGGATGAAGTATAACAGCATCGTCAAATGCATGATGATATTACTACATAGTAATGAAAGTGTACTTACTGCTACATGTAACAACACAAATAAATCATATAAACATAAAAGGGCAGGTTCAAAGAAATGCATACTAGTATATATTTTCATTTAAGTTCAAAGGCAGACAATACTGATCTGTTGTTTTATTATATCACTTCTTAAAGTATGATCCAGAGAGCCCTGGAAGTCCCCAGAACACTTTTAAGAAATCTGTTAGGTCAAAGTATTTTCTTTTCTTTTTCTTTTTCGTTTTTTTGAGATGGAGTCTTGCTCCATTGCCCAGGCTGGAGTGCAGTGGCACAATCTTGGCTCACTGCAACCTCTGCCTCCCAAGTTCAAGCGATTCTCCTTTCTTAGCCTCCCGAGTAGCTAGAATTACAGGCATGTGCCACCACACCAGCTAGTTGTTGTATTTTTAGTAGAGATGGGGTTTCACTATGTTGACCAGGCTGGTCTTGAACTCCTGACCTCAAGTGATCTACCCGCCTTGGCCTCCCAAAGTGCCAGGATTATAGGTGTGAGCCACCACAACTGACACAAACATATTTTCATAATAGTACTGTGACTTTTCGTGAATGCCTTTTTTTACTGTCATTTACTCTTTCACAGTCATACAGTGATGTTTCCCAGAGGCCACATGGTGTGTGTTGTTGTTAATGGATTGAATGCAGAAGCAGGCATGAGAAGCCAAATGTCTTCTCTAGAGCAGAGATTAAATAAATTTCCATAATATAAAACAACATTGCCATGAATTTTTTCTTGAAAATTAAGAATTATTTATGTTAAGATATGTTATTATGATAGTATGTTATTGTTCTATTTAAGTCAATAGGTGTATTTTTTTCAATTTCTCATTTTTAATTTCTAATAGGGTAAATATCCTTTGTAAACAAAGGCTCTCTGGAGTTTTAATCATTTTTTGAGTATAAAAGAGTCTTAAGTCTGAAAAGTTTGAAAAGCACATTTAGAAGTTAGTATAGGCTCTGCTGTTGGTGGGAGTGTAAATTAGTTCAACCATTGTGGAAGACAGTGTGGCGATTCCTCAAGGCCTTAGAAATAGAAATTCCATTTGACCCAGCAATCCCATTACTGGGTATATATCCAAAAGACTATAAAACGTTTTACTATAAGGACACATGTACACGAATGTTCATTGCAGCACTGTTTACAATAGCAAAGACCTGGAATCAACCCAAATGCCCATTGATAATAGACTGGATTGGAAAAATGTGGCACATATACACCATGGAATATTATGCAGCAATCAGAAATGATGAGTTCGTGTCGTTTGTAGGGACATGGATGAATCTGGAAAACATCATCCTCAGCAAACTGACACAAGAGCAGAAAATGAAACACCGCATATTCTCACTCATAGGGACATGGATGAATCTGGAGAACATCACCCTCAGCAAACTGACACAAGAACAGAAAATGAAACACCGCGTATTCTCACTCATAAGCGGGTGATGAAAAATGAGAACACATGGACACAGGGAGGGGAGTACTAAACACTGGGGTCTATTGGGGGGAAAAGGGGAGGGCCAGTGGGAGGGGGAGGTGGGGAGGGATAGCCTGGGGAGAAATGCCAAATGTGGGTGAAGGGGAGAAAGGAAGCAAAACACACTGCCATGTGTGTACCTACGCAACTGTCTTGCATGTTCTGCTCATGTACCCCAAAACCTAAAATGAAATAAAAAAATTTAAAAAAATAAAAATAAAAAAAAAAAAGAAGTTAGTATAGTTACCTTTGGGTAGTAAAATGGGTTTAGTGATTGGAAGAGGGGACATGGGACCTTTCTAGGATGTTGGAAATGTTCTGTTTTTTATCTTAGCAAAGGGTACAATGTATGTGTTCATTTTATTAAAAGTTTTGAAAAGCTACATATGCTTATGATATTTATTTTATATGCTACATACATATGTGTCCTATATATATTAAATAGTAATGTTTGCAAGTTGTCCACTGATATTCATGTCTTATCACATGACACCAGAAATGTGTTATGTTACTGTGAGAGTCCTGTACTGAGCTGATATCATCAACTTGATGTCATCAATTTAATATGTTGCTATAACATATGCTTATGTCATCAATGTAGCATGTTGGTTTATGTTCAGGAATAGCCAGATGTGGATTGCCTGGTTTTCTGCTATATCCACTATAAATCTAGACTGTTCCATTTATTTTTTTCTGAGAGTTTATTTTTTGCCCTCCTAGGAAGAATCCTGTTCATTTTCAATGTTTTAGTCATCCTGGTGATAGTGATTATGGAGGTGTACAAATTGTGGGCCAAGATAAGACTGATGACCGGCCTGAATGTCCCTATGGACCATCCTGTTATAGGTATAGAAACTGAAATTTTGCCTATACTCCTTTTCTTTCTTATCTCTGTTATTTATCTGGGAGAAACTGACAGCAGCTTGTTATGTCAAGCCTTTTAATTTTAATTTTTAAACTTCTGTAGATTACAGATTTTCATACTGGTAATAGGTAGGATTATCTTTCTTTTGGATAATTCTAAATTACTTAAGTTACACGTCTTAGAAGTGCCTGAAATTTTTTCTTATTTCTTACTTTCTAAAATGCAAATTAGATCACTTAAGAGCTGTTGATGCTATCCCAACATAGACTCTATTCACTCTACGTGTCCTAGGTGTGACATATAAATCCATTTTGGATGTTATCTCTGCATCCCTCTGCTTCCTTAACTTTTACTACTCCACTATTCTTGCCAACACATAAAATAACAATTCTGAAAGACGAGTAAGAATACCTCCCCTCTCAGTTTTCATGGCATCTTGTCCGTGTCTTTATCATGCACAGAGTAGGATTTATTTCATGAGATTATGTTTGATTCTTTATCAGAAACATCTCTTCCTACAGGTAGCTAGTATCTTGACAGCAAGGACTCTTATCCTTGTATCTTGCAACTTTGCTTAATAAATGAATGAACTTGAAATGAAACAGACTACCAAAGAAAGAATTAGTGATTTCAGCTTTAGAGAGCTTTAATTCCAGACAGTCATATTTCTTAGATATTTTTAAATACAGATTGCTGAACCTACTGGGCTATTTGAAGTTGTTGCTATTTCTATGATGTGGTATTCAATGAGAAGACAAAGTAAGTTTCTGGGACCAGAAAGGAAAAAGGCTTACACTTTTTTTAGAAAGAAACGTGTTCATTATGATCAGCTTTACTAATAAACTTGAAAATTTTTGGAGAAATTAACAAATTCTTAGAAAAGTACAACTTCAAGAAACATATACAAGAAAAAATTGAAAATGGAGTTAATGTAAGAGAAATTAAATACATGATTTAAAGCTTCCTACCAAAGAAATGATAGATCTGTTTGGTTTTAATGGCAAGTTCTAACAAACGTTTAAAGAAGAAGCACTTCATTTTTATACAAACTACTCCAAAGAAATTAAAAGAGTGTGTATTTCCCAGTTCATGATGTGAGACCAGTATAAGCTTGATACCAAAACCTAGCAAGAATAATATAAGAATAAAAAATTGCAGGATGAGCTTACTTTTGAACATAGTTCTAAGTATCCTGAGGGGGGGAGAAATGTTATGAGAATCAAGCAATAAATAAAAAGGAAAATATAATATGACCAACTGTGGTTTATCTAAGGAATGCATATTTTAACATTAAAAAGTAATATCATTTACCATGTCATCAGAGTAAGTAGAAAAGTCATCTCCATAGATGATTGGAAAGAAAAAACCTGACAAACCAAAATTAGCATTCATTTATTTAAAAAGCTTTTTACAAAGTAGGAATAGAAGGGAACTTCTTTAATATCAAAAAGAATATCTACAAAAAACTTACAGCAAATGTTATAAAGTAAAATATTAAAAATTTCCCTTCTGAAATCAGAAATGATACAGGACGCCTATTATTACCACTTCTGTTCATCATTATATGGAGATTCAAGACAGTATACTAAAATAAGAAAAGGAAAATGTATAAGGATTGCAAAGGAAGAAATAAAATTTTGTGTTAACAGATGGCATTATTGTATATACAGTAAAGATAAACTGGCCCACCGATGAATTATAAACTTAATAAGTGCTTAGGAAGGTTATTGGATAGAAAAATCGATATACAAAACCAATTATGTTTCTATAGTCCATCAGTAACCAGTAAGAAAATAAAAATTTTAAAAGATTATAACAACATCAAAAAGTAAGAAGTCCTTAGGAATAAATATAAAAGGTATAGAGTTCTGTATGAAGAAAACTATAAAACTTTAAATGTAAAATGAGAAAATATTTTTTAGAAAGAGCTAAATAATTATGAAGATCAAAATGTTCATGATTGAATTATCCACTAGTATCAAAATACCAATTTTCATCAATGGATTTGTATATAAACTGATTCCAAATCATAATAGCTTTTATATAGAAATTCATAATGTGATTCTTAAATTTATATGGATTACAAAGGATAAAAATAGCTGTGACAATCATACATAATGAAGAATAGGTGGCAGGATGTGTTATACTTTATAGTTACTAAGGCAGTGTGGTATGGGCACAAAGATCAAGTAACATGACCAGAACAGAATGGTAATTCAAAATAGGCTTATACATATAAGGTGACATATTTATGAAAAGGGACCTTGCAGGTATTGAGAAAAATGAATTTTTTCAATTAATTACGAGGGGGTAAGTAATACTCATCTGAAGAAAAAATAAAACTGGACGCTTATATCACATCATAGTCAAAAACTGAATTTCAAATGACTCATAGTACTAAATGTAAAAAGCAAAATAATAAAGCTTTAAAAATAAATAGAAGGGAATTGTTTCGTGATCTCAGAGAAGTTCGGATTATTTTCTAAAATAAGAAACAAAAAAAAGTAATTAAAATGGAAAACATTTATTTATTTGATTACATTAAAAGTAAGGCGTTTTGTTTTTTTTTTTTTTTTTTTTTTTGAGACGGAGTTTCGCTCTTGTTACCCAGGCTGGAGTGCAATGGCTCGATCTCGGCTCACCACAATCTCCGCCTCCTGGGTTCAGGCAATTCTCCTGCCTCAGCCTCCCGAGCAGCTGGGATCACAGGCACGCACCACCGTGCCCAGCTAATTTTTTGTAATTTTAGTAGAGACGGGGTTTCACCATGTTGACCAAGATGGTCTCGATCTGTTGACCTCATGATCCACCCGCCTCGGCCTCCCAAAGTGCTGGGATTACAGGCTTGAGCCACCACGCCCGGCCAAAAGTAAGGCGTTTTTAATGCATCAGTAGACATTGAGAGTAAAAACAAAGCACAGAGTAAGAAAAAAATATATTTACAACCCACATAACTGACAGTAGCATATATCTAGAACAATGAAACAATATTTTAACTTGCTATTGCTTTTGCTTAGTAATATACATAGGCTTTTTGCCCAAAAGGAAATCCAAATACTAATAACATATGAAAAAGTACTCAGTGTCATTAGTAATCAGGGAAATTACACACACATCCACACACACGTAAACATATCACCTTGAAGTAACTGTTTTCTCCTATTTATTTATTCAAAAAATATTTTCCAAAGAATCAAGTGCCAAGTATTGATGAAACAATGTTGAGAGGTACTTGTAGAACAAACATATTTGTATATATTTTTTGTATATTTGGAACAAAGCCACCTTTGATAGTTCATGTACATAATTCATGGCACCATGGTGATGTGCCTTTTCATTTGTTTAGAAAAAAAACTTTTGTAATGGAGAATTTTGTCCATAAATACAAGTAAAGAGAATGTAGAATAAGCTTCAGTGAAGCCACCACCTAGTTTGTGCAGTTACCAACTCATGGCCAATATTGTTTCATCTACCCCCCCAAACTACTTGCTACCCCATTCCTGTATTTTTTTGAAGCAAATACCTAACTTGTATCTTTTTATCCCATTTTATCTATGAGTATCTTAGTGTGTACCTGTAAAAAATACTGTCTAAAAACATACCATAACACTGTTATTAAATAAATCTTTAATATTATTCAGTATCCTGTCAGATATCTACATTTCCCTATAGTGTCTTTTTTTTTTTTTTACAGTTTATCTGAATTAGCATCTGCTTAAGTTCTATATGGCAAAAGGTAGCCATGTCTCGTAATTTATTTAATCAATAGGTTTCTCTTTATTTTTTTCCTCACTATATATTTGTTGAAGAAAGCTTATCATTTGTTCTGAAGAGGATTCCATCATTCGCACTTCGTTGATTGTATTTTCGGGATGCATTCAGGTTCTCCTGTATTTTCTAAGAATTTATAGTTTGAACTAGAGGGTTGATCAGATATCAGTTCTAAATTGTTTATAATATAACTACCCCAGGTTATATGGTTAGTGTTTGTGTAATACCCTTTTTAATCCTTTTAGTTTTGACATGTGTTCTTATATTTAAAACATGTCTCTTATAAAGAGCATATAGTTGGTTCACTGGTTTTTCTTTTTAATCCAGTCTGGTAGTCTTTGCTTTTTAGGTGGAGTACTTAGTCCATTTACATTTTTTTTGAGATGAAGTTTTGCTCTGTTGCCCAGGCTGGAGTGCGGTGTTGCAATCTCAGCTCACTGCAGCCTCCACTTCCTGGGTTCAAGTGATTCTCCTCCCTCAGCCTCCTGAGTAGCTGGGATTACAGTCATGCACCACCATGCCTGGTTAATTTTTGTATTTTTAGTAGAGATGGGGTTTCACATGTTGGTCAAGCTGGTCTCAAACTCCTGACCTCGTGATCTGCCTGTCACATATATACGTGTGTGTGTGTGTGTGTTTGTGTGTGTGAATATATATGTATATGTATGTGTGTGTATATATGTGCGTGTGTATATATATGTATGAATACTACTCAGCCATAAAAAGGAATGAATTAATGGCATTTGCAGCGACCTGGATGAGATTGGAGACTATTATTCTAAGTGAAGTAACTCAGGAATGGAAAACCAAACATTGTATGTTCTCACTCATATGTGGGAGCTAAGCTATGAGGATGCAAAGGCATAAGAAAGACACAATGGGCTTTGGGTTCTCAGGGAGAGAGGGCGGGAAGGGTGTGGGGGATAAAATACCACAAATTAGGTGCAGTGTATACTGCTTGGGTGATGGGTACACCAAAATCTCACGAATCACCACTAAAGAACCTACTAATATAACTGAATACTACTTGTTCCACAATAACCTATGGAAATAAAAAAATTTACTTAAAAAATGAAGTATCTTGCCTGTCAACTAATTTATTCTTTTTGTGCTGTCCACTGCTGTTTGTCAGAATACTCACTCAGTTTAATGGATTTCATTAGTTTAAGGCACTTGTCTGAATTAGAACATTAGATACTTAATGTCTAGT